GTATAGTCTCAAAGTAAAGAAAGAAATGAAGGCAATAGAAAGTGAAATAAAGGAAAACATACAGGGAACCAACAGTGAAGGTAAGGAAACCAGGACTCACATCAATGATTTGGAACAAAAGGAAGAAATAAATATCCAACTGGAACAGAAAGAAGAAAAAAGAATTAAAAAAAAAAATGAGAGGCTGAGGAACCTCTGGGATAACTTTAAACATTCCAACATTTAAATCATAGGGGTGCCAGAAGGAGAAGAGGAAGAGCAAGAGATTTGAAAAAATAATGAAGGAAAACTTCCCCAGTCTGGCAAAGGAACTAGACGTGCAAGTCCAGGAAGCTTAGAGAGTCCCAAAGAAGTTGGATACAAGAAGAAACACACCAAGACACATCATCATTAAGTTACCTAAGAGTAAAGCTAAGGAGAGAATCTTAAAAGCAGCAAGAGAAAAGGAGAGAGTTACCTACAAAGGAGTTCCCACAAAACTACCAGCTGATTTCTCAAAAGAAACCTTATAGCAAGAACGGGCTGGAAAGAAGTATTCAAAGTCATGAAAGGCAATGACCTACATCTAAGATTACTCTACCCAACAAAACTATCATTTGGAATGGAAACGCAGATAAAGTGCTTCCCAGATAAGGTCAAGTTAAAGGAACTCAGCACCACCAAGGCCTTATTATGTGAAATGTTAGAGGAACTTATCTAAGAAAAAGATGAAAACTATAAACAGTAAAATGACAACAGACTCACAACTATCAACAATTGAACCTGAAAAACAAAAACAAAAACTAAGCAAACTACTAGAACAGGAACGGAATCACAGAAATGGAGATCACATGGAGGGTTATCAGTGAGGAAAGGGAGGGGGAGATTGTGGGGGAAAGGCACAGGGAATAAGAAGAATAATGGTAGGCATGAAATACACAAGGGAAGGTTAAGAATAGTATAGGAAATGGAGAAGCCAAAAAACTTCTGTGTATGACCCATGGGCATGAACTAAGCAGGGTGGGGAATGCTGGAGGGAGGGGAGGTGCAGGGTGGAGAGAGATAAAGGGGAGAAAAAATAGAACCACCATAATGGCATAATCAATAAAATATCCTTAAAAATTTTTACAAAGAATTATCCATGTTGATGGTCTCCACTTTCTCAACACCTATTCTCTTTAACCTACTCCAATGTGGCTCTCATGCCCTCCAGTCATTCAAACAGATCTTATCAAAGTCACCAAGAGCATTTTACCAAATCATTCTCTGTCATGGGTTGAATTGTACTCCCCTAAGATATGTTGAAGTCCTAGACTTCAGTACCTGTGAATATGTCCTTATTTGGAAATAAGGTCTTTGCAAGTTAAAATGAGGTCATTAGGATGGTCTCTAATCCAGTGTGACTATATCTGTATACAAAGGGAAAATTTGGACATAGACAAACAAGCACACACACAGGGAGAACATCATGTGAACATGAAGGCAGAGACTGGGGTGATACGTCTACAAGCCAGGAATGCCAAAGACTGCCGGTAAACCACTAGAACCTACGAAGAGGCATGAAACAGATTCTCCTTATCAACCCTGACAATACCTTGATCTTGGACGTTCAGACTCCAGAACTGTGAGAAAAGAAACTTCGTGGTTTAAGCCACCCAACTTGTGGCATTTTGTTTGGCAGCCCAAGGATATTTACAATACTTGTCTTTAGACTCCCATGACACCAGTTTCTTGGTTTCCATACAATTTCAGTGGCTCCTCCCCTAAATGTCAGCCTGCATCAGAGCTCAGTCCACCCGTGGTTTTTCCCTGGCCTTTCTAATCTAGGCGATCTCACCCAGTTCCATGGTATTAAATGCCACCTGAGTGCCGAGGACTTCCATATCTAAACTCCAGACTGACCTCTCCCATTTCCACTTTGTCCCTGAGACACTGCACTGCAATTGTGTCCCTGTCTGCCTCCCTAGCTGAGCTGAACTTGAGGACAGGACCCACACTTTTGTCATCTTAGTTGCCGCACAGCCTGGTGCCTCGCCTGACCCAGAGGAGGCTGTCAGTGTTGCTTGTTGACTAGACACCTCACACAAGTCCAAATCACTATGATTATCTCATAGCTTAAACTGCTGCCTCACTTTTAACCTTTAAAATCCAATCTAATCTTTGTTCATCCCCGCCCCTCCCCACTCCCGGCCCCCTGCGAATCCCAGGAAGTTGGGCTACCTCATTTTTGCCACCTCTCTTTGAACTCAGAACCTGGCCTCCTGGGCTTCTTTTCTCTCCTCCCCAGGCAGCCCCGTTCCCCACCCCCCAACTCTCTCACTCTTACTCCCTCAGGGTGGTTCAGATTTCTAGCCCATTTGGCCAAGAAATTTCCTTTAACTAAGACTCTTGCCAGACTCAAGTTTTAACTTTTAAAAGGTCCACTGGGACTTGTCCAGCACTGCGGTTACACCTCAACACCACTTGGAAACACAGCAGGTGATACTTCCTACTGTTTACTACTAAAAATCCCTTGGAAGCTCCACAAAATTTCTCAGCATGAAATATGACCCCCCCTGGAAAGTTCTGAAAACTCCTGGGTAAAATGCTTGAATAAAGATCACATCACCTTCATCTTCCATTTGGGGAATTCAACTCCAGGCTACAGCTCTGCTCTCTCTTAAAATGAGGTTGGTTAAATATCACTAGGCAGTGAATTTTTTATATGTACAGGATTGTCTTTTTTGTTTTAAATTTTTATTTACTCATTTTTTTTTTTTTTGAGAGAGAGAGAAAAGAAGTGGGGGGGAGAGAGAAAAAAACATCGATTTATTGTTCCACTTATGTATGCATTCATTGGTTGATTCTTATATGTGCCTTGACTCGGGATCAAACCTGCAACTTTGGTGTATCAGGATTTGAACAAACTGAGCTACCCTGTCAAGGTGAGGATTGTCTTAATTTACCTTTTAATCCTCGGCCTAGTACCTGGTACAGGACCCAGTGCACAACTCAAGGCCTGTGTGCCTTGTGAATGGAGGCACGCTAAGTGAACTAGGTAGTCCTGGTAAGCACAGTAAATGGCGAAAGAATTAATGAATGAGCCATAGCTACTTCCCAGGATAGTCGTACTGAGAAATGCCATCATATATATATTAAAACACTCTGAAAACTAATATATTATACCAATTTAAGGAACTGTATTTAACATGCCGAGAAGGAGTCAAATAAACTTGCACTCAAATTCCAGATCCAGACTGGCAGGCTGTGTCCTTAGTAAAATTCTTAATCCCAATGAACTTCAGTTTTTTCACCTGTAAAATGGGGATAATAATACTCACCTGTTGTATCAGTTCTGAGGCTCTATTTAGCTGACAAAGGTAAAATGTCTAGTGAAGTGCACCAGTGTATATATAAAAGTTACCATTTATAAACCACTGGTAGTATTTTTCTCTCGCACACCAGATGTTTACTCTAAACATGTAAACATCAATCAATCATGAAAATGATAGTTTTGTTTTTCTTAAATGTCATTTATTAGAAAATACAATTCCAGAGAAAGTAGGAGATACAAGGACATCTGGAAAGTGGGTACAATACATAGACCTCTTTAAACCAGGAGCATAGAGGGTCAAAATAAAATGAGTTACAGGCACAAAGCCGGTAACACATCTCTGGTCCATTCATCTGGAGAAGTCCACTCCTGTTCTCCACTTCCCTAGCCCCTCCCCGCAACAGCCAGCTTCTCCTTGCCATTTTTAATTTAATAGAAAATTTTAAACTTCCTTGCTGCCCTATGGCTTCAGTGAGTGGAGCTTCTTTCTCCAGTTATGGAATGAGTCAGCAAAAGGGGAATTTCTGATCCTTGGAGCTAGGGAGGAAGGTGAGGAGGGATAGGCAGTTAGCAAAGTATCCCCCATTAACTCCACTCCCCAATCAAGGCACACATCCAGCCAATTCTACTTTAAAGCATTGATATCAAACTCAAAGTCTCTCCCTCTTTTTTTCAAGAAAGAAACACTCTGAAGTAAAGAGCAAGAATGAATTTCAAATCCAAGTGATAGGAAATGAAGAACATTAAGAGGTAAGAGACCCCGTCTCTCCCTCCCAGTTCCAGGGGATCTCCAATCCAGCCTCCTTGAGAGCAAAGAACAAGTTTTGTTCTTTGGAAAAAACAAGTTTTTATAGGACCCCAGCCCCTTTCCTTCAGATACGGCATCCCTTTGGCTCCAGACTAAGTAGGTTTATGGCCCCATAGGATGAGGGAAATTTTTATAAAAAATGTGACAGAACGGAGTTTGGGAGAGAAGCAGCACAAAAGTAGTGGGTTGTGGAAAAGGTTTCCCAGGACTGCCCAGCAGGCAGCCATATTGGCCTCTGCAGCCTAGAGCCCCTTCCCAGAGCCTGGATGCCCGTGGGTGAAACGCTATTAAGGGCCAAGGCAGCATTTTATCCCGCAGAGAAAAATGAAGAGAGAGACCTATGGGGGAGCAGCCCCAGTGCATTCACTGGGACCAGATGGCCCCCAGAAGGGCAAGAGAATGGAGGTGTATTCAGGGTGAGTCCTGGCAAAGTGGGGAAAGAATTCCCCCCGAAAGAGCACGGGTCCCTGAATACGGCTCCTTTGCGGAACCCCATAAGAAAGGCCCTTCCTTACACACACAGGTATCACATCGCTCTCCTTTGGAGGCAAAATCAGAAAGGCCCGGCAGCACAGGCCTCAGTCCAGCACACGCAGCCCCCCTGCCCCTCCCTGACCTGCCCTTGGAGAGGGGGCTCTAACCGAGGACCCACTGGGCCCCTCTCCAAATAATTCCTATAGAGAGAAAAACAAAAAAACAAACAAACACAACCCTAGAGAAAAGTCCAATAAGAACCTTAGTCATACAAAAAGTCCAAATAGTCTTCCTCTTTTTGCCTTCTGAGGCATATGTAAGTCCCTTCTCACAAGGCTTCCTGTCCAGTTAGGACAACATTACTATTTCATTTTTTAAAAATAAAAATAAAGATATCCACCCACCCTCCCACCAAGCTCTACTTCATACAGCCCACCCCACACACCCCAAACCAGGCATTGCTCCCTTGACACAAGGTAAACTTAAAACTTTGCTGCAACCTCACAGCCTCCCAGGGGCTGCTCATTACAACCAACTCGAATTCTGTCTGCAGAGGAGGGGATGGCAGAGAGCCTCTTGCTCTCCCTGCCTCCCATCACAGAGGCCCCATCCACCTGGACAGCAGGGAGGCCTGCCAAGGGCCCTGCCTCTTCACAAGGAAGACAAGTCAAACAGGGACAGTCCTTTCCCCTAGCTCCACCCCCAGCCGGGGGCCCTGGGCGGGGGCTCTGCTGGGCTCATGAGGTCTCATGACTTCGAGATCCTAGTGCAAACCAGCCAGTCTTCTCCTGGGCCAGGTCCAGGTCTCGCAGGCGGATGTGCACCTCTCCGAGGAGAACGTTCTCCCAGAATCCTTGCTCGCTCAGCACACTCAGCTGTAGCTCCCGCTGCTGCAGGTCTCCCTTGGGGATCCCATCATACACCAGCTGCAAACGCAGAGTTTGGGAAGAGGGAAGTCATAAGAGAGGGAACCTTGAACAGGGAGATGCTTAAGTCTGTGGTCACTTGATCTGCTGAGGCAAACACCACTGTATCTCCCCAACCAGAGCCCAAGGGAATAGAGAAGGCACAAGGGAAGCTTTAAAGAACTGTGTTCTTCACTCAGAGTTCAGGCACGTGAGGGACTTTTTTATTAGAGCCACTGCTATTATCAGCAGAGGATCAGCAGACTCCTCCTCCTACAGGACAGGGGCCAGGCCGCGCCCTGGCTCTGGAAACCCAACCAATGGGCAGGCTTTCCATGTAAAGGGCAAGATAATAAACATGGTTTTCCAGGCCATCCGGTCTGGTCTCTGTCACAATTACGCAACCCTGCCCCTGCAACCTGAGGGCAGCCACGGATGACATTTGAAGGAATAGGTGTGGCCATGTTCTAATACAACTTTATTTACAAACCCCTGCCCCACCCCAGCACCTTCCCCACACACCATTTCATTGTAGGTGGGGTTGCAGGTTTTCCGGGCCACTTTGGTTTTCTTCTTAGTGGTTTTCTGAGGGTCAGGAAGGAGGTAAATCTTCACATAGGGGTCAGGGTCATTCCCATCCTGGAGAAGTTGCTACAGAGGGAATGCCAACCAAAAAAAGATGAAGACTCTTCTATTTGCCCCTGTATCACCATTCCTGTGATCACACCCTTACCCAGACTCCCATCCCACACCTGGCTTCTCGCAATGCATAGCAGTTTACTCGGTTGCTTCCCAGCTTACTCCATTCTGATAAAAATAACTACCATAATGTTAGGTGTCCTACTAAAATGTCAATCGGATTGCCGATTACATCCAGTTTATGCTTTTTACACAAATGCTCAGGGCATGCCATACTTGGTCTGTTTTGAATGAATGATTATATCCCCAGGTATCTCCCTGACTAGCCCAGTGTCTTTGACTATTTTGTTATCTGATCCAAGTAACCTTGTAAGAGGTGGAGAAGAAAGTCAGAAAAATTAAGTTCCTTGCTCAAGGTCAACCAATCAGTGATTTACCCAGCCTGATCCTTTTAAATCTTAAGTTAGATCTTTTGCCTACAGACACCCCCCGCCCCCTGAGAAGAAAGATTCATTTGATGTGAAACACAAGAAGGAGTTTATTGTTGAGATGGACTCCCCATGATCAATTGAGGGCCCAAATTTTATAAATAAAAGCCTAAAGGCCATTTGCTAACAGGGGCCTCTCACATACTCTATACACCAGGAAGAACCTCAGACCCAACTCTCAGGTTCCTGCACTATGTACTTCTTAGTCAACCATTATACAGCTGAGTCAACTGTTATAAGGAAGCTCCTGGTCTTATCTTTTCACCAAGGGACTAAGACCTGCCCAGTCCAATCAGAACTGCTCCATAATAACCAATCAGAACTGAACAAGTTGGAAATCTTATTTGCATGAAACTGGGAACTTGGGCAGGAACTTTCTGTACAAAAGATGACCTCCCTTTGTCTCAAACTGTGGAGCACAATTTAGATTGCTACCTGAATCTGTGTCTCCCTGGTGGCAGCTCTTTTTGCTCAAATAAATGTTTTTTTAAATCTTTATAACAGTCTAAAATTAATTTTGGTTTACATGCCTCTACTCAAAACCCTCCAATGGTTTCCAGCTCATTCAGGTTAAAGCCCCAGTCCCGACAATGCCCTCTAATCGGCTGTGCCCTCCCCAACCTCATCGACCTCTACTCTCCCTTTTGTTCCACAGGCTTTAGCCACAGGACGCCTTGCAGTTCCTTATGCACCCCAGGCAGGTTCCTGGCTTTTGGCTTTAACTAGACCCTCTGTTTGGAACAGTGTCCCCTCAGATATATATTCATGGCCTGCCCCTTACCTCCTTCCGTCTTTGCTCAAATACCTCCTTCATCAATGAGGGCGTCCCTGACCACTCTATGCAAAACTGCCACTACCCTCATTCTATCTCTGTATTATTTCTCTGCTTTCTTTCTCTCCAGAACACTTGCCATGTATTTGTCTATCTGTCTCTTCCTACTGGAATATATAAGCTCCCTGAGGGGAAGGATTTTGTTTTCCTTATCCTGTACCCAGAGCTGATGTAACAGTACCTGACTTATAGTAAGAACTAGATGAACATTTGTTGAATGAATGAATGAGTGAATGAATGATGTTGTAAGAGTGAAACCCAGGTTTCTCTGATTCCAAAGCTCATGGTCCTTCTGCCACATACCAATGTCCCAACCTACAAAAGTCTAGCACATTACAAGTACTCAATGAGAGTTCCCTTCCACTTCCACTCACAATGGTCTTAGAATCGTACCAAAAATTTTGGTAATTATATACTGCCTTGATTATATACAGCTCCAGGGTGGTCATGTGGCTGTACGTGGCTGTCTTCCACGTACAGTCAGGCAAAAAACCCCTGGGGCTTCTCTCTTATATAATCACCATGATTACCATAATAATGCCAAATACTGTGTTAAGTGTTCTACTTGCATTATGTCATTTAATGCCCATAACAAGCCTATGAGGTGGATACTAACATGATCTTTATTCTAATGCGGCTCAGAGTACTTAGGCTACTTGCCAAAAACCACAGGTGGTAAGATGCTGTGTCTAGTATTGTGTGCGTGGTTATTCCCTAGGCCTGTTGTAATAGCAGCCCCAATGGTAGGTACCCAACAAACTTGTGGTTACTCTCATGAAACAGGGGCAGTAGAGGTCTCACCAGTCAGAAAAGTGCCAGGAGAAAGATAAAGAATCAAATGAGGACTGCACATGCACTTACCAAGCCCCGAATATGCATCACCATGATGAAGAGTTTATTGTTTTTATAGGAGATAGACAGCTTCACCTCCCCTCCCACCTTCCCAACAGGACGGGCCCAAGAGCCATCTGTAGGGACAAAGAAAACAGAGAAAGGTCATGAGGCCAGTCCTGTCTCCATCTGGCGTCAGGCAGATGTTTTTTATCCTGTGACCCTCCTCCTGCAACAATATCTCCATGTCAGGTTCCTGATACCCCCTGAGGGATCCGCCAAGTGGCATCTGTGAACATGATTTAGAGTTGGGTTTGGATGGGTCTATCCAATTTGTGTAATCATCAACTGAATATCCAGTTCCTGGGGAACCTGCACAGGGAGCAGTGGATCCCACAGCCTGAGTGGGAAGCCAGGTTTGCTAGCAAGCAATGGAACAGAGACAAGTTAGAAAAAAGAACTGGAAAGAGATTGGGGCAGGAGAAGTTACCCTTGGGAATGGTTCAGAGGGATTGGCACAAAGAAGGCACTGTACCTGAGGACTTGGGAGCTGGGCTGGTACCCGCAGCCTTCTCATCCCGGGGCAAGGGGTGGAAGAAGGTATACACCAAATCACACTGGAATAAAAGCAGCAAACAGGGTGGTTCTTCACTAAGACAATGGCCCAATAAGAAAAAGACTGTTCCAAATTAAAACAGACATAAAATGTAACAACCAAGCGTAATATGCAGTTCTTTCTTGGATCATGGCTCAAACAAACAAACTGTAAAAAGAATTTGGGGGATGAGAGGAAAATTTTGAATAAGGGTTATGTATTGGGTGCTATGACTCTGTAATTATATAAGAACATGTCCTTATGTTTTAGAGATGCGGAGTATTTAGAGGTAGAATGTCTTGATGTCTGTGATTTATTTTAAAATACTTCATACAAAAATAGATGAAGCAAATATAGCAAAATATTAACTGCTTAGGTTAATGGATATATATATGCACTAATTATACTTTTTCTCTAAAGTTCTCATAATAAAAAGTTTTTTTAAAAGAAAAATAAATAAATAAAACTAGGTCCCATCAGGACAAAAGCGCCTGTGCTTTTCTACCACTCCCTTCCCGGTGGACACCCCCCACCCCAAGCATAGAAATGCCTGGGCCGGCCTTGGACAAAGACCATGAATCCATCCTACTTTGAAGAATGCTTCCTAAGTAACTAGGAAAAGCAAAAACAAAATGTGTGAAAATATCCATTCTAGCATTAATAGTAGGAAAAAATGGACATAATCTAAGTATCTTTCAAGAGGCAAATGGTTAAAGAGATAATCATATTCCAAGTCAATGTATTAATTTGGTACAGATGTTTAAAATTACATTTACTTGTAAAGAAAAAAAATGTTTACTCTAAATGCTAAGTGAAAAGAAACAGAGCATAGAATTATATTTACGCTATGACCACTATAAAACTGTAAAAGTCACATTTGCATATGGACAGATAGTAAGGAAACATGGAAATGGCCAGATGACTTGTTCGGGTGATGGATCTGATGGCTATATTTATTTATTTATATACATATTTATTATAAAAACAAATCATAATTATACCAAATTATAATACAATTTGTTTTTAAAAGTCAAAGTGGTGTTAAGAAAGAGCAGGTCCAACAACATAAAAACCCAAAACTCAACTGCATCTTTTTAAATAAAAGGCTTCAGCCTTGGCATGCTCTCCCTAAGAGACCACAAGAGACTTGCAAACAGGAGCAATGGGCAGGAGCAGCTTGCCCCGGGCTAAGGCCCTGAACCCCAGGGCCCCCTTTCCTCTGACCTCCCAGGGAGCTGACAGCAGCCCCACCTTGGCTCGTTTCTTTCCTATAACATTTTCGAAAGCCAAAGCAGCCCCACCTAGATCCTCTACTGTCGCCTCTTCTATCCTAGGCCCTTCCTTGTTTCTCTGTCTCCAACTTTAATAAATGTACTCTCAAAAACACAAACTACAACAAAATCCCAGCTTCAGCCTTTATGAAATAAAAAAGGAAGCTCAGGAATGAGCCAATCAATTTGGAATTTCCTGATCAACACTAGTGAGATAACTAGTCAGGTAAGACCCTTGTAGTGCCCACCTCCCACCAGGTTGCCCTTACCCGAAACAATCTTTTCTTTCCTTTTGCCAACAGCTTTCCTGTCCCACCCAGTTTCTACCTAGAAAAATCTTCCATTCTATACAACTTCTTAAAGTCCCTCTCTGTTTACTAGATGGGATGGTGCAGGATCCATGCATGTTCAATAACCAATTTACTGTAAGGTTGAAATTTTGTTCTGTAACAGTGGATAGGTAACCTAACCTACACATGCAGCCTAGCAGGTAACCTAGCACAGATTAACCTTTGTTTAGACTTTATAACTTTGCCTCCATTAACGTGTAAATCCACCTAAATCACTCTAAAATTTATAAGATTTTGTCTGATGCTATCTTGTGATTTGCTGAAACTGTCTCTGCTAGACTGTTTTTCACGAACAAGCCCGGGATGTTTTGCAGGACCAGGTCAACCAGCTGCAGTCACCTGAGAGGCTAGAGCAGGCTGAAGGGCCCTTCAGGGACCTCTAAACTTTCCTCATTATACCCTCCTTATAACTCTAAAATCTTCCCAGGGGCGGAGATTTTCTGCCCTGTTGGAACCTGCGATGTATGAATAACCATGTTTCCTGACTGCGCGTGCTCTGGACTGTCTACACCTACACACACACACACACACACACACACACACACACACACACGGACACACGCGCGCAGCGATGCAGTCTACCTACCTACACACACACACACACACACACACACACACACACACACGGACACGCGCGCGCGCAGCGATGCAGTCTACCTTGATGTTTATGCATGATTTCCCCTAATAAAGACGGATTGGCTGCTTTGCTTAAATGCGTGCGTCCTACCTTGCAGGCTCGCAATCAAGTTCCTTCTCATCAATTTATCTCGGAGATTTCTCCTGGGTGGCAACTACAGGGCATTCGGACCGCTTCGATCCAGTGACAGACACACCCTCAATGTGCTCAAAACACTTTTCCTTGCGACCTGTCCCTTTCTCAGGTTCCGACCACCCTAAACCTCCTGGGATCGCACCTACCTCCGCGCGCCCTCCTCCCGCCCTTCGTCCTCCGCAGGGGCGGACAGGCCTGCAGAGCCCAGGGCCCACCCTGATGGGCAGCGGGCTCCCCACCCTTCCGCAGCGTCCCCCCGCCCCGCAGCAGCGCCCGAGAGGCCGGGCCCAGGGGACACCCCACCCACCTCGGCCACCTCCGGGGCAGCGTGGATCAGGTGCCAGATGTAGGTGTTTAACTCCTCGCGCCGCCGCTCAGCTCCCGCCTCTCCCCGCGGGCGGCCAATCGTGAAGCGACTGGGGAAGCTGGCGAGGCCGGCGGGCGGGGACGCGGAGGAGAAGTCGAGAGAGGGCGGTCAGAGGCAGCAGGATTTTGTCCCATTTCATTTGCATTTTCAGTCACCCGACCCACTTCTCCCACCAGCCTCCCTTCCCAGGGACCCCACCCCCTCCGCTCCCCGCGCAGCTCCCCAGGTGTGTGCCGGGGTCGCCCCCGGCACTTCCGAGGACCCCAGACAAGAAAGCCACGCTGCTGGGCAGAGTCCTGTGGGTCTCCAGAAGTTCCGCAGGGAAGTGCCGCAGGGGCTTTGGAGTCCCCATTTTCCCCCATCAAAGTAAAAATCACTTAAAAATCATTTTTTAAAAATTTGTGATGAAATACACTTAACAAAATTTACTATCGTAACCATTAAGTGTACAGTTCAGTGGCATGAGGTACACAAGTGCAACCGTCACTACTATCTCCAGAACTCTTTTCATCTCGAAGAACTGCAATTCTACCCATTAAACAACACGTCGTGTTCCACCCGCCCCGCCCCCCCACTCCGCCCTGCACCTGGCGTTGGCAACCACCATTTTACTTTTTGTGCCTGAGTTTTACTGCTATATGCTTAATACAAATGGAGTATCACACGGTATTTATCTTTCTGAAACTGGCTTATCTCACTTAGCATACGGCCTCAAGGTTCATCCATGCAGTAGCATTTGAAAAATGCTTTTACCCTTTAAAAAGTTAGAAACCTTCGAACATCTTCAGATTTAGTAAATCCCCTACATTTAGATCCGGTTTGCCCTTCTTCCAGCTTATTTTCAAGTCTGCAGAGCTTAACCAGCAGGTGGAGCACTTGTTATCAAACTCATTACCAGGCCAAGAAAAACAAGTACCTTCCGTTGATCTATGGCTCCTGCAGTCCTTCCCAACCCCCACCCATTCTCCCTCCCCAGTATCCCTCTAACAGAGAGTAAAGTGGGCAGCTACCTGGGCAACAGAGAAGCAGGGAAGAGCAGCCGCAGCTTATTGTGTAACTCCTGGAACTCCTCAAATGTCCGCTGGATATAAGTGGCCTCATGAGCATTCTCTCGCATCACCTTCACTACATAAATCTGCGAAAGTTCAAGTCTTAGAGAACACCTGCCACACCCTCTGTACCAATGAGGAGGCTAGGTAAGGGAACTGGTGAGTGCGTGCGTGTGTGTGTTGGGGGAATATACACTTTCCAGAAGGAAGAAGGCAAAGGTATCTCCAATGGAGACAAAGGTGATGTGCCCATGTACATATGCAGGAATTTGAAAGCAAATATTTCCTGCACGTTTCCCAAGACCCATGACTCAGAGAGCGTAACCATCCAGTTCAGCTCCTTGATTCAAGGCAGGCCACTCAGGCAAGGGAGAGGGACATGGTCTATGACTGCTGCCAGCACAAAGTGCTTGGTGACTCCAGTGTCCACAGTGTGGATGTGAAGAAAACAGAACCCAGTAATCTGGGGGCACTGGGGAGCAAGGGAGGATCAGACTGGAGAAGACACTTACGTAGGCTTTGTTGGGGTGGAAGACCTTCTCCTGGCGGCAGAGAAAGACATCACTGAGGCGGCCGGAGCGCTGAAGAGTATGTGTGCGGGGGGCAAAGGAAAGGGTCAGCCGGTCGTCTGAGCCCGTGAACTTCATCTGAGCCAGGTTATGGATGAAGAAATTGAGCTTTGTGGCTACACTGCCCAGGCTGGACTCAATCAACCTGTGGGTGTAAGAGGATGTCACTATGGACGCATGTCCCCACTGCCTGGACAGAGCTATCTCAAGGAATATCCCCTGACACCTAAGACAACACTTCACTCACATCAAAGCATTTTCCCTCTGTAATATCCTCATAGAACACACGACTGGCAGTGATCTACATGCAATTTATTCATGTGAATCAAAGGATCTTATCTTCCTTTGCTGCCTTCCTAAGCCAAAGACACTTAAACCGAGGAGGGAAGGAACTAAGGATTCCACCTAGTCACCGTGTGAATATCTAATTGTGTCAAACTGAATTTCAAGGTTCAATACCATGTAACCTCACCAAGCACTGCTCAATCTAGAGATTTTGGTTCAAAAGGAAAAGTTCTGTGCTAGACCAACAGAAAAAAAAAAAATTAGTTTGCAAAGTTCCAAAAACAGTGCATAATAAAATGGGTGACATCACCTACATAAAACTGTAGACATTAGTACATAGATACTTCCCTGTTTCATACATAGTACACCTAAAAATGTTATGAACCATGAGAAAATGAATCCATGAAGTTCATGTTTTGATAAGGGAGAAGGAAGGTTTTGATCTAGAGGCCTAAAAACTAGTAAAAATTCATACTTGTCTCATAAACAAATTCTTCGACCAAGACTTGGTGAGAATTTAAGTAAGAGCAAATTGCAATACCTCTATAAACAAAGATTAGCATCAAAGTGCAGATGGGAAACTGGGGTCTGAGAGATGTGAAGTAATTTACCTAAGTGAGGGGCAAAGTTGGGACAGTACACCCACATCGTCAACTCTTGGCTCTGCCACCTAAGCTAAGCCTTTCCCATTTCCCTAGCCCCGTTCCTTCCAAGCAGGCAGCCTGGAAATTAATGACTCAGGGTGGGCAGCACGTTTTGGGTGTTACCTAGTAAAGTAGGTAGTGGCGTTGGCATCTGTGTCCTGAGGTCTCAGGGCATCATACACATACTTGAGGTCCTCCAGGTCTGAGAGCTCAGGGATCCCACAGGACAACATCTAGAAGGAGAGTAAAAGAGGAGAGATGGTGCCTAAAACAATCAGGAATTCTTGCTTCTTTCTCACCATAAGGCAAGACTTTCTACAGCTAGGCTCCCTCACCCTCCCAGACGGTGGCAGACAGATGCTGTGGACAGTGGCTGGAGGGCCACTAGCAGGGAGGGGCTGGAGCGGGAAGCCAGACACCTGCACAGACGCTGTTGTCCCGAGATGTCTGGGCTCTGCCTTTATCTAGAGTTCAAAAAAGTAGGTCTCCAGGAATCCTTTGATGCAAGACAGGGAAGTCTTGAAGGGTCAGATGCTAAAAAGGAGGGGTCCCGAAAGGGATGGAGCTCCTCACCAGGCCCAGAAGGTTGAGGAAGAGGTGGGTGTGCTTGCGAATGAGGTTGTAGGCTTGGCAGCAAAGGTCCACAAAATCATGGAAGCGGCTGGAAGGCTTGTCACCCCCGTTGATGACATATGCCATGTCCGAGGTGAAGACAAACGGGGCACGGTCCCTGGGCCAAGGGGAACATTCAGGTAAAAGGTCAACATGGAGGAGGAGGCCCACCTTGGGGGCGGTATCAGGGATGGTTTCCCTCACCCCTTATCACCTATGCAAACCTGGATAGATGGGGCTCTCTAACTGTTTTCTCTTTCTACTTTAATCCTAAATTGTCCCCAGAAACATCCTCACGAGTTTCTTGTCTGTGAGCTAGCAGGATTTCCCCCCCTGGATATCTAATTGTATACTTTTTGCTGTGGTTTGGGCTCATTTCCCTTTGCTCAGTCCTCAGCTGGTCCCTGCCTTCTGCAAGGACTTGACCTCTTTCTCAGCCTTCTTTTCTCCAAAGCTACTCAGCCCAAAGACTACACTCTGAGGTACAGCCCCTTTTGTCATGGGCTTGTGTCCCAGCTTGGAACCATTTCTGCTGACCACCCCCCAACCCTACACACACATCCCTGCTTTAGAAGACCCTTAGGACCACTTACCGCTTGATGTTGCCAAACATCTGGGCATGACCCAGAAAGCGGCCAAAATCTATGTGAAACATGTGACCAGTCGTCTTCAGCATGATGTTGTCATTGTGTCGGTCACAGATGCCCAAGACGTATGTGGCCACACAGCAGCCGGCGCAGGAATAGATGAAGTTCTCCACGGCCTGGGAGGAGGGAAAGGAGACAGGAGGAGAAGACATACAGGTGGCTTGGAAGGACTCCAAGGGCACAGCCAGGATGAATTCCATCAGGTCTGGTTTCTCTCTTCCAAGCCCCAACAGCATCTCACATCTGCCTGTTCAGCCTCCATCATGGACCAACGTATGCACTGACATACACATCATCATCACTTGTATCTTATGCAGTATGAGAAGATAGAAGGCTTCTATGCATACCTCCACCACTGTATCTGAAATTCATCTTCCTCTGCACCTTCCTTTCTCCCAAGGAGAATGGTTAGAAAAACAGTGAACTCATCCAGAGCCCAAACTTGACCAGCCCAGAAAAAAGAGACCTTAATAGATAGGAAGACTGGCATATGCAACTCTCCCAACCAGTTGTGACCATCTTAATTCAAGCACACACCGAGGCAGCCAACTTAAGGGTCCCTTCTTGACCCTGCTCTGAATTCTTCTGTTCTTGTCCCTACCTCCAGAACAACTATCCCCAGTGTTCTTAGTAACAGCTAACTGCTAATCTCACCAAAGTCTTTTCACTGTGAAGAAGAGCTGAGGCAGCGTAACAGTTCCAGGGGTGTTTTACACTTGAAGATCAGAAATCTCTAGTTCATAAAGTGTGTTACAGATATTTTTGAGTTTAAAGCAGGAGAGGCGAGGGAAGGGGTTGCATCTACCTTACTTTATCTGGTCAATACCTGTCCCCTTATCTACCTTCCCAGAAAGTAAAAATTCGTGGAATTATTAAATGGACACCTTTTGCCCTGTAAATAAATCCTCTTTGTGACATCTCTAGAATTCCCAGGAACTCCAGAAAGGCTCATCGGCAGAGGACAATAATCATCACAGCCAACTGGGAATGTACCAAGTTGGGAATGGAAGCTTCCCGGGCAGAGAATATGTGCCCTCCCTACGTCCCTCTGCCAATTTCCGCCATCCTTCAGGGCCCTCCCTTGAGTCCCACTCCTTTCCCAGACCTTCCCAGCTCACACTGACTCCTCCCCATTGAGCTCCCGCAGCCCCACTGCCACCGCCATTCACTAAGGGTCTAGTCTTTTTACTCCCCCAGGGTTTAGGGATCTCATCTCCCAGTGGCTTCTCCGCTGTTCCACAGGCCTGTTTCAAAGCTAGCTACACGCAGAAACCTCCCAGATACTTGTTGAATGAAACCAGATGACTAACCCATAGAAAACTCAGAAAAGAAAGTTTGTAAAGGAATCACAGATTGCACCTTCTGAAAGCAAGACTATTTCTATGGAAGGAAAACATAGGAATAAAAGGAAACCACTCAAAAAGGAGTGTGACACATCAGCTCCCCGTCTTGACCTTCACTTCCATCAGCTTGCCGTCCTGACATAGATATTCTTTCTACCTGAAATGCATCCCCTTTTGACTTACACAATAGCCGTACGCCCATGGGCAAATGAGTAAGTCCCAACACCTAAGCTATGCAGGGGGTTAGCTGCTTACTGGCAGGAAGTCTCACTGAACAAGAGGAGCTCTCCTGATTGAAGGGCTTACATTGGCAGGATGTAGGGAACTCTCTTTGCTGAGTAAGTGGCCAAGAACCAAATATCTCTAGTTCTTTCCTACAGGAAGCCATCATAAGACACTACCAGCATTATTCTAGCAGAAAGGCAAGAAAAACTGAAAAGCTGGTTTAGAAAGACGTATTAAATATTAAAACACAGAGCTACTTTTCTATGTGTGTATTCTTGGTGTACATACATCTCTCATATTTACTATCACTATTACATTGGCAGGTAATCATAATTCCAGCACCAATCACGGTGCCTCTGCGTGGTGGCTGTTCGATACCTGAAAAATACATGTTAGTAGAAATCATATGCGGGGACAGTGGGCAGGAGGAAAAAAATCCATTACTCCTCTCCAAGGGCAGAGGACCTTGAAGTCTGCAACATACAGGGGGTGGATTTTGAGGGATGCATAGGGGATTACTATTGTCTAAAGGTATCAAGGAAATGCACGTAGCTCCCTAAGCTACAGCATAAGTTATCAGGAGACGGGGAGGGAGGGGATGAGACTCCAGAGGTAAGCAGAGCTGCATTGCATGTACATGCAGCGCTGTGGATGTTGGGCTCATCTTTTAGGACACAGGGAATCTGTGGAGAACTTAGAGCAAAGGAGTGACATAAGCAGGTTTGCACTTTGTAAAAAACCTCTGAAATCATGCAGACAATGGTGATGGGAAGAGGAGACATGCTACGGTTCAGAGAACCGAGAGCAAAGCGCTGAACAAAATGGAAAGAAGAGGACAGGTTTGAGAACAGTTTGGGAAGAAGAATCAGCAGGGCTTGGTACAAGAGAGGTGAAACAGTGGAAGCAGCAAGAAGACCCATGGCTCTAGCTTGTGTGACTGCAGAGAGTCATACCATTTACTGAGAGGAAACACACAAAAAGCTGGTTTCAAGAGAGGACAGACAAAAAGCTCAGCTTTGTCTACACTGAGATGTCCAGCAAGCAGGTGGCTACAGAGTGTATAGCTTGAGGGAGGGAAGAGGAAAGGCTTTAGGAGGCATCAGCAGGTCAGGAATTAAACCCTGAGGAGCGTCAATGGTTAAGACCATTTAAGATTATCTAAATAGATGTTCACAAAACAATATTTTGATTATAATTTATCCATTAGGTTTTCCCTCAGGGATAAAATGCATTGGTCGATATAAATTAGTATTTGGATCCCGTCGGAAGTTCAGCTATATAAATGAGCATTTCTGGCTTATAAATCAAGTCTCCTATGAGTTTGGTTATTGTGACTTGTTACCTCCCCTCAACTTAGTTAACCCAAAGACAAAAGCCATGAAACGGTGGACCACTCACGGACCACATGGACCAGGCCACCAAGGCCTTACACCCAGTTAAGCTCCACCTGAGGAACAGGTGAGCCCCTTTTCTATCATCTCCATCTCCTATTTAACCGTAATCCTGGCTTCCAGGTACAGCCCTGCCACAAACCAGCTCCCAAACTAGGAACTAGCAAGTTTTAATTCACATCTACGTAAAGAGGAGTTGGATTAAAATGGTCTTGAAAGTCTCTTCCAACGAACTTTTGTTCTATGAAGTACTGAACCCTTTGGAGGGCAGAGAAGAACTGAATAGGATCCACGATTGGGAGACATATAGTCAGGTGTTCAAAAGTTGCCCCTCCTCCTCCAAAATTCAGTATGACACAGGAACTCAATGAAGGTTTCCCAGCTGGATACCAGGAGATTTTCTGTCAGCTTACTATCATTTGACCCTTGCCTAGACATCTGGATATACCAGTCAGTCAAGAAAGAGTCTATGTTTCCTCCCAGCACAGCTGAGCTGTTTCCTCTGAGCATGTGCAGGTCTCGTGGTAACACAGCAATGTGCCAGAGACGGGCACACCCCACCCCAGCCTTGTCTGCCACTCCCAGTCCTACCTTCTCATACTCATCCTCTCCGGGGTTGTGCTTCTGCAGCCAATCGGCCAGGGGCCGGTCCTTGAAGGAGCCGGTCACCCCGTGCTCCACCTGGATCTTGCGCAGCGTCTCGGCATTGGGAATCATCTCCACCATCCCTGTGAGGGGGCACTGGGTCACTCTCCAGGGCAGAGGGAAGGGACTGTCAGGAACTACAAGCGCTTGCCAGATGCTTCTCTGGAAATAAACTCTAGGGCATTTGGACCAAGCCTGAGAACAAGGGGGCAGATCGTGGTAGAAAGGATGTCATTCCCCAGGTCTCACATTCTGCATTGTGACTCTGGTCTCTCCAACTCACAGCTGCTGCTCCTTTTTGTTTTTAGTTTTTACTCTGGGAATTTTCAAATACATATAAGAATAAAGAAATGGATCATGTACTCACACATAGCCACTGCCCAGTTTCAAAAATTATCAACACTTTGCTACTATTTCACTCACCCAGCACTGCTGCTTTCCCCCAGCCTTGGCTGGAGTATTTTAAGGAAAATCCCATTCACTCATAAATATTTCAAGTACAAATAAGGACAAAACCACCATGCCATTATCACATCCCAAAATTAACAATCATTCTTTAATCTCATTTAATCTAGTCTCACCCAACCCTGTCCCTATTCATATTTTCTTTTTACAGTTGGTTCAGTTGAATCAGGCTCCAAAGTCTACAGAGCACTTTTGGTTGTTCTGTTTTATAAGTCTCTCTTCCCTGCCCTCTTTTTTTATGCCACTCCACAGCTTCTAATGAAATCATCTTGCCCTTTCAGCGTTTCTAGAGAAGCACAAACATGGTGTTGGGAATAGGCAAAAGGACAGAAAGCAAAGGGCACTCCCTATCCTACCCTCTGCCCCGCCCACTGCCAACTGACCTCTCCCCCTGCCGGTGGAGAAGCAGCGGAAAATCACCATGCGCATGTCCAGCCCCTCCTGGACCCAGATCTTGCTCATAATGCGAATCATCTGCAGGGTGAGCATGTCCTGGCGAAGGTCATCCCCGCACTGGAGGGAGGAAGAAAGTGATGATCAGAACCATCTCTACCACTTCCCTTGGTTCCCATATTTCCCAGAAGGATCCAAACTATAGTGACAGGGACTGCCCAGTTGTCCACCTCTGACCTGCCCACTCAGCTCACACCAGGTCAGACCACCAGAGACAGGCCATGTGGTGTTCTGGCTCTTCCCAAACCCCACAGCCCCATCAAAACTGAAGTCACGTTCCCCCTCTTCAAACAGTCCTCCTGGCCATCAGTCCTCTTTAAAACTTGAATGTTTATACCTTAGATTCAGAACTTACACACATATAAATATATTTATATGTACTTAGCAAATACATATAAATATATTTTTATATATAGTGTTTATATATAAATATGTAGTGTTTATATATAAATATCTTTAAAACTTGAATGTTTATACCTTAGATTCAGAACTTACACACATATAAATATATTTATATGTACTTAGCAAATACATATAAATATATTTATATATATAGTGCTTATATATAAATATGTAGTGTTTATATATAAATAGAGTTTATATATAGTGTTTGTATATAAATATATGTAGTGTTTATACACACACACACACTAAATTACATACATGCATTTCATCTCTCCCCACTAGATTGCATGCCTTGAAACTATCACTCACTTATCCAAAACATGGATGTATCAGTTAGAGGGCCCTATAGTTCAACTAGTCCAATCTGCACCTGATATATTAATTTCCTTTTTGACGTCATTGCCACATAGTTATTCAGCCTCTGCTTGAATACCCCCAGGGAGAAGCAGATCCCCACCTTACCCATTGCACTGTGGGAGTAGCTCTGCCGCCTAGAAAGTGCTTCTGTATATTGAGCTGTCAGTTGCCTCCCTGCATGTCCCAGCCCCTGGGGCCATGCAGAGTCAGTCTGTTTCCTTTTTTACCCAATGGTCTTTCATATATTAAAATGGTAACATGGAATAGCAGAAAGAGAACTGGCCTGGGGCTGCTTCTGCCACCCAAAGGCTCCCTCCTCCTCCTCCTCTCTCTACCGTCTCCATTGTCCAGGCTTGAGGGCAATGTCCTCACCTTGAAGATGACTCTGATGTTCTCACCCAGCGGATCCACATTCTGGAAGGAGAGCTTGAGCGGGACTGCATTGGAATTGAAGTAGGAACAGTCCTGCCACAGTAGAGAGGGTAGTGACGAGGGTAGTCAGGGTGGCCCATGCCCCGGAAAGAAAAACGGCCTGTCTACTTGGGTCAAACTGCTTCCATCCACCTGCTCGCAGTTAGTTCCATATTTTCTCAGGAGCCCTATTCCTTCCCGTTCATTCTGCATACAACTTATGAGTTGTGTGGCCTCTGGTAAGTCCCATCTATACCTCATTTTACTCCTCGTGAAACATGGCTCCTAACAATAGTGACTTTGTAGGCCATGAGGATGAAATGCAATAACCAGCTTAAAGCACTCGGCAGTGCCAGGAGCAGGGAGTGCTCATACATAACAGACGGCAGCTTTACCAGCTTGGCTTCAACTCAGTCTGGTCACAAGACACCTCCCTAGCCCCCTACCCTGTTCCTCCACAGCTGCTCAGCGAAAGTCCCTATGCATCAGGGTTGGGGAGAGACCCAAAACATGTCTTTCTTCCCCATCTTTCTCAATAACCAGGTGCACAAGGACCTCACCTCCTCCGAGCCCTCCCCACTCCAAGAACCCCAAGCCCTCTGGTTACTTACCCTGGGCACAATGCCCTTAACCAGAAGACTGGGGCTGAGTGGCAGGCGGCAGGAGCCATTGAGGGCAAAGAACTGTTTTACCTCCTCCAAGCCTTTGCGGAGGATCCCCTGAGAGGACAGGTGGAGGCAAAGGAGAAGGGGTGAGGTGAGGGGCCCATAGCTGCACTCAGCACCAGGCCTCTCCCCAAGATGGGCATCCAACAGTGACTGGTATGACGCCCCCTGAGAAGAATGCACAACCTCCAGGAGACGATGAAGGAGAAAGACCAGTCCTCCTACACGCCAGCCTGGGACAGTGCACAGGCAGCAAGCCCAGCACCTCAAGAGGCTAGATGATGACAAAACAGCTTAAAGCAGGCCCCAGTGAACCGAGAGAGCAGGCTGCATGTCAAGGGGAAGAGGCAGCTCAGACTGCTGCCAAGAAAAGCTAACAACTTGGACTTCACAATCTCGATTTTTAAATGTTAGCCACTAATTCAGCCCATCTCTGCAAACAGAGAAAGGTGCCCTCCGTGGGTGGCAGCAGCTCCGAGCCACAGCGCACAGCACAGTGAACAAAGTCTCACTGGAGTTCAGCCCACACTTGCCCCCTCTGGCTGGGTGCTCCTGTGTAGTGAACAATTTACACAATTGTGCTTAGCCTTTAAGGCAAAAAGTTAAACAAAAATTTTAATACTTTGTAGGCCAAAACAACATATCCATGGGCTTTATCCAGCTTGCAAACTGTCAGTTTGTGACCTGTGGGTTACAGAGTCACATCCTTCCAGCCCCTAAATCAGAGATGGTCAAGTGCCATCCTGCTGGTTAGGACACCTAGGAAGTTAAAGACTGGCTGCAGAAGCCCAAGACCAGAAATGGGTAGAAGCAGCCTCACCGTACTCACCTGCCGTGCAGATGGGGTGGCCTCCCGGACCTGCTGGGCCAGCTTTGCCAGGGTGTTGACAAGCCAGCACTGGCGGTTAAACTCCTCTCTCAGCCCCTTGCCACAGCAGCACAACAAGGCCGCCAGCAGGTACTGGTAGCGGATGCTGAACTGGGAGTCCTTGAGGCCGTCCTTCAGCAACCTGCGAGGCAAACCATGTGGAGAGTCGGGCCACTCAAAGGGTCACAGGCAAGGGGTATAGGAGCAGGGGGATCAGACCCAGCCCCAACCCCAAACCTGGGAGGGAAAATAGCCCTACATGCACAGTTCAGACAGAGGTTTCCATCCATATCCCAGTCTGTGCTCACTTTGCCTTTAAGTAGAGCTCAAGGCCCCCTGGCATCTGTTTCTCCTTTCCTTCCACCATGTGTGGGTGGGTAGGAGGGCCAGGAAGATCCTCGCTGTGCTACATGGGGGTGGACCAAGACCTCCCAAGCACAAGGGGCTGGCCCAAAGGAAAGCCCCTTTTCCATGGCCACGTGGAAAGTCAGCAACACACTGAAACCCCACCCTGCATGCCTAGGAGTCAACGCTCCCAAGTAAAGGACCCACATCTCCCTCCCCATTTTTGCACAGTTTTACCAGAAGAAGTAATGAGTCACTCTCAAGTCAGAAATTGCCCGTTTCAGGAGGAAGCGCACCAAGGGGCTATCCAGGTAGCACTCATACTTTAGGGCCTGTTTAGGAGAGAGGGAAGATGGGGCTCTATTGACTGCCTGTAATCTATACCTACCACTGCCTCCACCCTAGATTCTAAGGGGCAGAATGCAGACCAACATGGGGGTTGGGGGTGGGACTATCAAAACTGGAGGGCAGGCCATTCCACCCACCTGCACGAGCTGGGGCAGGTAGTCAAGAAGCTCAGCATCCGACAAGGAGCCAATCCACTGGACAGCCATACGCCGTACCTCCTGGTCTGGGAAGCTGTAAAACAGAGCCCAGCACCCTGACCACTAAGCCACCGGCACCGGAGCACGCCAGCATTCTCACACCTGAGCTTCAGAGGCATGGGTGGAGAAAAGACAATGTCTCCCAGACTCTGCCAAAGCCACTAGGAGAATCCTTAGTGCATTCTCTGGATAGCAACCTTGAGAATGGCCCGGTACCCTGGTCAGAGCTGGACTCAGTCCACAGATGAACAGGAAGGTGGTCATGTTCCTTTCCTGTATGACTTAAAGGAAACAGGACAGAGTTCTCAATCCCACTCCCAAAGACCTCTTCCTTGGCTCCCACTGTGCCAGAAAGTCCCATCATCAGAGTCCTCATGAGGGTTAAAGCATTCTTGTGTCTTGGTACCGTCCTTTTTGCAAATCTTGCCAAGTGAATAACAGAGTCATGGAACTTTATATAAGCCTGTACACCTTGACAGAATTAGTTTAGCAGAGCACAATCATTGCCTAAAAAGTCCTGAAGGCAAGACAGGAAGGAGTACATTTGAATTCCTGAAAAGGTGAGAAAGAAGCCAAGAACACTGGGTACCATCTGGGAAAGGCAGCCCAGTGGTCCGAGACTGGGAGCCTTGGTCCCCAGAGAACCCTTCAGAGGAAAGAGTGAAGAGAGGACTGTTAAAGTAGAACTAAATGAGAAGGCCTGGGTTACATGGGTGTGTGCACGCGCCAAAACTCAGCAATTGTACAGGTAAGGCTGGGGTATTTCCTTACATGCACATTTTGCCTCAAAAGAAAAAAAACATAAACATTAAGCTCTAGTCAATGATATTCATGCTGAAGTATTGGGGGGGGGTATGATGCCTGCAATTTACATTGAAATTCATTAAAAACATAAGATGGGCTGATGAAAGGATGGATGGATGGATGGATGGATGGACGGACAGTTGGATGGGTGGATACACATACAATAAAGCAAACAGAACAAATGATAATTGTTAGAATCCAGGTGGTGGGTAGAGAGATGTTCACTGTAAAATGTTCAATTTTGTTATTATATGTTTGGGAAATGTTCATAATATAACATGGGGGGAGGGGTGGTGAGACAAAGATAAAACAGAAAAGAAGGAGAAAAGCCCTGAATTTCCAGCCCCACTTTACCACTTTGCCCAGGGCTAGCTCAGGTCAGTGATGGGCGTGCCAAGCCCTGGCTTCTGGAAGGACACCTGGTCAGTAAAGGTGAGTGTTACAACTCACGTGGCATGTAGGAGTCCCAGGGCATCCTGGTGGTTCATGTGGGTCCACTGCTTCAGAAGAACATAGATGTCGGGCAGGCAAGCCCACTCCCAGCTGGGGGCGCTGGCGAGCACCAGAGGAAGTGAGCTCACTTCCGAGTGGCAATAATATCGCTTCTCCCACAGACGCTTCTTGTCAGCATCAGTGAGCCTGGGGGTGCAGGTAGCAGGGGGAGGTGAGAGAAAGCAGAGTCAGCCAGAAGGTGGGATACTTATTCTCCAACAGAATGCTACACACTCTCCAATTCAGTGGTTCCTCAACTTTGTAGCACATTACAGTCACTTCAGGAGCTTTGTAAAATCCTCATGCTCAGGCCACAACCCATACTAATTAACTCATAATGTTTGGGGAAGTGACATTAGTATTTTTTAAAGATTTCTAGGTGATTGCAACGTGTAAAGGAAACCAGAGCTCAAATCTCATCTTGGATGCTGACTTAGGGACATCTCAAACCTGAGGCAGAATGTAGGACCAAAGGCACAGAATTTGCTCCTCCTCCTAAGGATGCCCTTTTGGGGCACCACTCCCAAGAACAGCCACCAGAGGGCAGTGGTTCCCACAAGGCAGGCTTTGGGCCCCTCAGAGACATCCTGGGGCTTCCTGGGGCCATCTGCAGGATTTATAGGACCTACAGCTAATTAGGCCTTGCCTGAGATCAGATGTCTAATGGGAGAAGGGAGCTGAGGAACTAATGAAGCCAGGCATCCAGCAGAGGAGGTCTTTGGTCACTCAGCTACTCTGGCTGCACTAGAGAGAGAGAGGAGCCCTGTCTCTGTCTGTTTCCCCCACCTGCAATAGGCACAGGGCAGTGCCAGAACCAGAGAGGTGCAGAGAGAGAGCAGGCATCCCTCCAGCTCCTCCAGGTCCCGATTCCTCAGCCTCCCTCTCTAATCCTGGTAAGAGAAGCAGCCGCAAGGATGACATCAGCTCGGACTCCCTTACCCCTGAGAGCTGCCAGCTTGCCTTGACACCTGATCTTTTTTGAAAAGTGACAGGACCAGAGAAACACAAAGGCTGTGGGTATGGAATGGGGGCAGGGTGGTGCAGTCAGCAGCCGGCTGCCCCAGTGGACAGCAAGTAGTAGACGGCTTATCTGCAGTGAGGGGCAAAGCGCTGGTCCTCTTGGCAAGTGGAGTCTGGGCCAAGTTCCCAGCATGGGATGGGCATTCCCAGGTCTAATTTCCTGACCCAGATGACTCCACTTTGCCTAGTGCCAGCTCATGGGAAAAGGCCTGGGGCCTACCCTCAGCAGAACCCTTTCTCCACACTTCCTGCCCAGGTGGCAATGCCCACCTTATCCTACCTCTGCTTCCGAAGCAGGAGGACAAGGACATGAAGCTGAAACGTAAGAGAGGTCAGACAGAATGTGACAGACTTAGTGGGGCTTGAGCCACATGTGGGGGGAAGCCGTGGGCCTTACCAGTACAGGGACTCCTTCTGCATGATGTTTTTAAGCACGCGTTGGTCTTCCTCCCGGAGGCTGTCAAACTCATAGCAGGGGCTGAACTTGTCTCCAGAGGGGCTGGTGAACTTGATATCGAAGGCCGAGGTGGGGAAGTCAATCTGGGGGGTGGCATCAGAGAAGCAAAAAGAGAGAACAGGCAGGTGAGAGGGGGCTGCCACCTACTCGGGCCTCCAGCTTCTCTCTCACATGCCAACGTTCCTGCCTCCCTCCCTTACCCTCAGGTCTTTTGTCTATAAAATAACCAAAAAAATAAAAAATAAAAAAACATTTTAAAAAACCCTGTTAAACTTGGTGCTCCTGAAAGTCCCTTTCAGCTATAACGTTGAACAAAATAAGAGAAGGAAATAAAGAGAAAGACGGGCAAGTGAGGACAAGGCTGGGCTGAGACACATCTAGGTAAGGGGCCGGAGCTCTGAAATAAAGTGTTTCCAGGCTGAGCCACTGGAAGCCTCCAAGCTGAGGTGGGGGAGCCTTCAGTACGGTCCTGGAGGGCACTGCTGCCTGATAAGAGTCAGGCCACGAACCAGGTGAGGGCTCTACCAACTCTAAAGCCTGAGACCCTGGGTTCCCTGCTCTATGCCGCCTGGTATTTGTCCTGAAATGGAAATCGAAGCTGAGTGAGTCAGTTCTCAGAAGTTCTATGTTCCCTCATTCAGCAAATGTTTACTGAATCCTAATGTTTGCCAAGCACTGGTCTATGCCCTCCCTGTAGACTAGTAAGACAGACAGACAAGAATGCCTGCTTTTTGAAGCTTTCCTTCTGTGTCATTCTATCTCATTTCACGTCCACTTTGACATTGCATGTTCCATACCAAAAGCATCTGATGACCACCGAGAGGGAAGCCGGAAACTAGTAACCAGACCTTGGTCCTGACCAGCTCCTCCTCCCCTCCCAATGAGTTAGTGCACCCGCTAGAGCTCTGAGTGACTGCTTCAGTGAGGGCTTCCCCTTAGGCCCCAAGATGGGACATCTAAGATTTTATCACACTGAGTAATAGTGTGTTAAATAGAGTGTTGAACCCTCGTTCAACACAAGGGACTCCAAGGAGGTGAGTCACGGATGTGGGGGATCTCAGACCCAGCCTTTAGGCTCCTTAAAATCTACGTTAACCTTCCGGACATGGGACACGGATTCCATAGAACTCATCCTCCCGCTCTAAGTCTAACCACACTCACCTAGTTGCTCAGGCACATCATCATCCCATACCCAAAGTTCTAGTACTTTCTCCTCCAGCCCAGCCCAACCTCAAGGGAAAACCTGGAGCTGACCCTGCTGTGGGCCCGATGAATGGATGGGAGGCAGGGGCTGGGGCTGGGCTCTCACCTGCAGGATTACGCTGTCCGGCTGGTGGAAATTAGGTGTACTCCAGCGGGCACTGGAGTTTTCCTGTGTTGCTGGCCATAAGCCCAGAAGCTTCCGGCCACAGGTCAGGATGCTAAGGAGGATGGGGCGGGGGAGAGGGGGTAGGTGGATAAGCCAAAAAAGCTGGTGGCTAAGGACATGGTTTTCCTCCTGCTCCCCCGTTGAAAAATCTGTCTTTTCTGCTTGAGGCCGCCACTCAAACACTTATTCTCCCCCTGGACTACAACCCTTTCCTTCTTCCAAGTCCTAGAAAAACACCCTCTTCCAGGAAGCCTCCCTGGCTAACCACTCCCTGGTCTGGAGGACCTGGTGGCAGGGATGCCTTCCTGATGTAGAGAGCTGAACTAGATGACTTTTAAGGTCTTTCCGGTGACAAGACCACATGACATGTCCCCGAGCATTGCATTTCCATGCCCCTCCCCAACAGTCCTGTGCCACCAGTCCTTCCCAGTAACTCTTGGTTACATCAATCATCCTGGTCACTAGTCCTGTGCCTTGGTCCCTTCCACCGGGGCTGGGACCCTCTAGACCCTACCAGTGAGTCCCTCATGGCCCACCCTCCTGACAGGCAGTGGCCAGTGCAACAGCCAGGCCCCTCTATCCCCCTCCTTCCCTTCCAAAGCCAAGAAGCTGCTGCCCTGGGGCTCACATACTGCCTGAAGTTGAAGAGCGGGGTAGTGACCCAGCCCAGGGCCTCAGGGGCCCGCCGCTGCTTAATGGCCTCTGAGGAGCTCCCGGGTGGGGGGATGGGCAGAGCATAGAGAGTGGCACACAGCAGTGTCTCCCGAGGCAGCCGGTTCACCTGCACTGGAAAGCAGATCCTGGGGAGAACAGGAGACATTAGGAAGTGCTGACCCTGGGGCTTCAGGTGGCCCAGGAAGTCAAGCTTCCTGGCTGAACTTGATGCTGAGAGCTCGGCCCTCCTCTCAGGACATCAATCCGCCCTGTGGGAAAGCCTTCCTGCGGAACCAGGACAGTCCCAAACTTCAGGTAAAACCTCCATTGGATGCTCCCACAAGCATAGTGCAGTGCAGCCTCTCAGTAAGGTGAGGCAAACACCCCCTAATTTGGGGACTATCCGTGGTGACCAGACAAAACTGCCTTGGTCAGAGCCATCTCAGAGTTCAGGTCCCATACTGTAAGCCACACGCCTTCCGTTTTAGGATTTCTGCAGAGGACCACCAAGAAGGTGCTCCTGGGACCATCCCCTTCCATTGAACCATCCCATCCCTCCCCCACATCCTGCTGCTGAGAACAGCCAGGAAGCAGGAACATGCCTTCTGCCCTCAGTTCACCCTCCCCCACAGTCCTCCACCTGTCTGTCTTCTCCCTGACCCCTTCTCCTAACCCACAGGGGCACAACATGGTTTGTTCTCATCCCAAACATTTTCAACGTCAAAAGGGTAAAGAGAAGGGACTTCTCCAAAGTGACGGGGGAGGCCAAAAGAACTGAGACACGTCAGCCCTCACCACTACCCAGGCCCAGCTGTCCTCTCCCAGGCTCCTCTGCCTGAACCACCCGGCCACTCCCTCAGAGCTCAGGATAAGGAGCTAGGGTGGGGTGGGGTAGAGCTGTGGAAAGAGGGAAGGCCCACGTTACCTTTCGGGGAAGCTGTCCCTGGGCCAAAGTCCACACTGCCACACCCTTCTGGCCGTCCACAGGGCCCATCGGCTTCTATGCCAGAGGGCACAGAGGCAGAGTGGCCACCCCCGAGGTCAGCAGCTTCATGATAAAGCAGCCTCCCTCCAGGGGACTCCTCTCCACCCAAGGGAGGCACTCCTTCCCTCCCTCCTACCAGACCGGCAGAGCCCTGTTCTGTCTCAGCTGCCTGGGGAGGGGGGGGTGCAGCTATAATTAGGGCCCCTCCAGCAGCCATCGGACATGCCAGGCCCGGGCTTGGCTGGGGTTAGCAGAGCGCGGCTGCTGGGCCTATTTTGAGAGAGAATCAGCTGACCCCATAGCAAAGAGCAGAAGGGGCTGGGCCTGATCCCTTTCTTTTCACCCAAGAAGAGGCTTCCAGCCTCCTGTCAAAGGAAGAGGGGAATGAAGAAACTTTCTACCTGAAGTCGTAACCCCTGGAACCCTGGAACCAGAGAAGGTCCCCTCTCTTCAGTTTTTGAGTGTATCTGGTATTCCACAATCTCCCCACGTACCTTCATCAAGGGTCAGTCAGGATAATCACTAGGTTAGCTACAGCCCTGAACCTCCTCCCTGCCTAAGAAACCCCTCCTTCCCTCTGCCATCCTTTCTTCAACATCACATCACTTATAAAAGGGCTGCCTCCTCCAGGAAGGGTTCCTGGGATGCGCGGGTTCCAGTGCTGGGTCAGCCACTTAAACCCTTGGGAGACTACTCACAGCTCCCTCTGCACCTCAGTTTTCTCATCAGTGAAAAGGGCCACACAGCTTCCCGTGTGTGATGTGTGTATACATAGTCTGTGTGCTTTTTGCTGTGTGACACTCCGGTGCACTAGAAGTGGACTATACAGTTAATATTTTCATGTGCAAAAATCCCATTGTATCACAAGTCAGTGTCAGTCACTTGGAACAGGACCTGAGAGGTCTCCCCCAGCATTCATCATGTGCTAGGTATTGCCATGTTCCAAGTGCTCTCAAACAATCCTACAACGTAGGTCCTGTTACCAGGTCCGTTTGGGGTTGGATGAGCTGCCCACGGCTGCACCTACAGTAAGGACAGGAGGATGACTGCACTCAATGCTCTGACCCTTTCACTGTAGCGTATTTTCCCCAGTGCCTCAGTCTTACCAGGAAGGTGCCTAAAGGTCTCCCCTGGGGCATCTGGATGGGCAGTGCCGAGAGGACACTTCCGCAAGGCTCCAGGCAGGACACCAGCCCTTTGGGATTCCAGGCAGAAATCTCAGGCAGTGGAATGAGACCCAGAGAGTAGGCAGCCTGAGGGAGGACAGGCCTGGCTGCTTCTACACCTCTGACACTCTGTGGGAAGAGGGTCTAAGGCCGATTTGGTGGAGTCTAACCAGCCTGGAGCACTGTATAGCGCTCCTACCTTGGAAGCGGACTAACTGAGGCCAGAGAATGCCAACAGGGAGGGGGAACTCACAAGCCACTTAAAGCAGCTGTCCTCAGCCTCCAGGGAGGCCCTCCTGCCCTGGGGTTGTTTCATGAAAGAACTTTATTCACACCTTTATTGCACTAAGAATCACACAAGCGTGAAGACAGGAGAAAGGGCCCGCCTTCCCACTTGTCCAGCTATAAAGGGACCCACCCCATGGACCCCTTTCAGCATCCTTGGCCTGCCCACAGACCCTCTCAGGCTGTCTAATATGCACTCCAAATACTGAAGCAGTAGTTCTGCTCTGCACATGAAGACTCAGACGCCGTCAGTATGGGGAAGTGAACCTGCGGCAGCAAACAAGGCCTTTCTGACTCTGGAGTGAGGGCAGAGCACAGCACAGAAGAGGCCGGGCCGGCAAACACCTGCAACCACTTGAGGCGTCCTCGCCTCCATTTCCTTCCTGCTTCGCTTGGCTGACGCCTACTTTCCTAGCAGCAGATCAGTGTTGATAAATGCTAATTACTACTATCTTGGGCTTATGGTTTCACATTCATAACCGATCTATCTCATGTCAGTGCCACAACTGTCTCTAAGCTAAACAAATGTCCCCACTTTACAGTTTGAAAAACTGAGGCACAGAGAGGACAGAACAAAACTAAAATACAGGCTGCTTTCTGTGGCTACAAGCCCGTTACTCTTTCCTCTAGACAACCTTCCCTTCTCCATCTATAAGTCCCCTCTCTGTTCTTGGGGAAGAAGAGTCAGGGAAATCTTTCAAGGGAGATAAGACCCAAACAATGAGTTATCCTTGAAACTAACAATTAACATTGTATGTGACCCTTTATGGTTCACCGAGAGCCTTCACGGATACTTCTCTTTAGAGTCTCATAAAAGCTTGAGGGGCAGAAGTTATACTTGTCCTCATCCGAGTTAGGGACATGGAGACGCAAGAGGTTGAACGACTCATTTGGTTAGGGTTAATGACCATGCCTAGTTCATTCTGGAGCCTGGAGGGAGAGCTCACCGCTGGTCCCAGATGATGAGGTGAAAGAGGTACTTGGAGAAGTGGGCTCTGCGGGTCTGCAGGGGGCTGCACAGCTCCTTACCACCGTGGCTGAGGGAGCAGGAGAGGTAGAAGTCTTCATAGCTACAAGAAAGAGGGGGCAGGTGAGGACACAGCTCCCAAGCCCCATCTCAGCCACCTCACCTATGCCAAACACCATTTCCCTTGGCAAAACTCCTCTGGCTCTCTGGGGACTGTAACACGGGGCCGCGGGACAGGACAGCCCGAGTGGATTTGCAGAAGCGTGCTCTTGGAGAAGCAAGTCAATCTGGATCCCTCTGCCCAGGTTCAGGCTCCATGCTGGGTCATGGTTTTTCTTCCTTCCTCATGGGGAAGCCCTGCAGCCTTCTCTGTCTAGTCAGCTCCAGCCCATCGGTGTCGGGTGTGCGTGCGTGCACATGCGTAGGTGAGAAGGGTGGGGGATGAAAACGACATCTGCCCACTTGAATGCCAGCACATGGGGGTCCCTGTGGCTTGTGACAGGTGCCTGACAGAAGAGGTCAGAGAAGGCCCTGGTTTCCCAGGCTGCCTCCTTTGTTCTCTGTCAATTGCCTAGAGGAATACATTAAGTGAGGAACAAAGAGAAAAGGGGAGGGAGGGGCAGGAGGAGTCCGGAAGGGGGAGGCGGAGCGGATTGCCTATTCCCCCAGGGCTTGGATGCTGGGGACCCTGCAGAGGAGCTGAGGATTACCCAATGAAGGAGCCTCTCCACACCCACCACTCAGTCCAGAAGTAGGGTCATCTCCCACCTCCCCGCCCCTCCCCTCGTGCATCTGCAGGGAGTGCAGTCATTGGCTGTGGGGCAGCACTGGATCTGGGAAGCAGCCATCTGTCACCAAGTCTCCATCAGCTGGCCTTAGAAGGGAGGGGGCAGGGATGCCTGTGCAGCCTGCACTGAGCCAGCACTAAGAGGGAATGGCAGGATCTGCCCCAGGCAGCCTCTTCTTCATCTCCTAGGAGGCCTTTTCCCTCCCCTGGGATGTTCCAGCCCATGTGCCCCTCAGGCACTTGGCTCTCCCTGTCAGCCACCGAGCAGCCACTGTGCACCACCATGCCACAGACCTAAATGTAGGGCAGTGGGAGAAGCCATCTGGGAGTAAAACTCTGCTCCTGCCTACAAGGCATCAGCCCTGGGCTCACCTGGCAGCCCAGGTGATAGGGATGCGGTGGGTGGCATAGACAGTGAAGGCCAGGGGCCTGGGAAAATGGCAGGCCTCCTGGACCAGGTCATGCTTGTGGCTCCCGTGAACTGCTGTCTGAAAGTCTGCATTGAACGTGCTGCAGTACAGCTCCACCAGGTCCAAAATGGCAGCTGTCAGGGCTTCCACGACTTTCTCTGTGAAAGGAAGGGGTCAGAAGGAAAAGTCATGAGGCCTTAACATCTCGTTGCCATGGTGCTGACTAGGATGGAATACCCTAGGAAATAGTCCCCAAATGCCAGTCAGGTTTCTAATAGCCATGACAAAGTTCACCCATCTGTGATGAAATGAGAAAAAAGCAGGAGCGTGTCATAAGCTTCTCATCAAATGACAGATATGAAATTTTAAATGTCCTTTTATATATTGCAACTTATTTAATATGAAATGCCCTTTCTTTTAGGAAATAGTGGGAATCACAATTGTCATTTACTTTTGAAAAGTCATTGCTTGGCAAAATAAAAGATGACAATTTCTATGTTGGTCCCCAACATAATACTTTTGGAGCATTTTATTGGCCCATGAAACCCAAAAGACTGGGAATCACTGACCCAAAATCCCAAAATATGGGCTTTGTAGGGCGAAGTTCTGCTTGAAAGACTCAAGGAGTAATTCCAGTGATAAGTTCTTTATCACCTTCTCCCCAGGCCCATCCTAATCTGGAAACACAGGGCTTATGAGACACTTGGAGAATAATCACAACCTCCCCAAGGAAGAGTTTTCGCATTTGGAACCCAGGGCTAACTTTGCATCACCACCCCACCCTCACACTGACACCCCCTCATCGCCACCTTTCAGGGATACCACAGGGATAACCAGTAAAAATAATGAGAAAACACTGCATGGAAAGAAATGTGATCTCCAGCTGTGCCCACGCCTCCTATAAGGAAACACACTGACAACACACGGGCAGGCCCGGCCCCAGCAGTCAGGAGGGCCGGGGAGGACAAGGAATCCGGGCAGAGTCGGCAGTTTCTACCTGCCCTTACTGGATAAAGACAGAGCCGTTCCCTTACCTCGGTTTTCCCTCACAGCCAAGACGCTGGGGTCCTATTGGGGAAAAGGAGAAGGAGGGGAGCTTCAGGGACACAGCCTTTTCCGTCCCAGCTGGAAGAAGGGCTTCTCACAGCTGCACTCGACTGGACCAGGCTGGACTGAAGTGTGAGGGGCAGAGATTCCCCGGGGAGGACAAAGTAATGGTTTGTACCAGATCCGTGTAATGGACAGAGTGAGCCAGACCAAGGATTAAATCATCGTGTCCACCCAGCTGAGGCGTGCTAATCCTCAGGCCGCTCCACCGCAGACCAAGTGCCTATGGTGCTGGCCCTCTCCGCACAGCACACAGTCCCCACTGGGGAGTCAGGAAGCCCCTGGGGCTCAGGGAGGTTTTGGTTTTGCACCCTGATCCCTAAGCAAACTACCAGGCAATGCCTCAGTGATCGCGAGTAAAGCATTTGCTGGTTTGGGCTCCCAGCAATCAGTCCCGGGAGGCAGACCCTGGCCCACCCTCAGCCTCAGGAAGAGGGGACACACCTGGCATCCATTTCCTAAGAACTCTTGTGGCTATTCAAACATAAAAGACGGAGGTGCAGAGGAGAGCCTGGACGGCCAATTACCCAGCTGCCTGTGAACATTCCTCTCCTCCTTTCCCATGCTGGCGCTCTGGGTCCCATTACCTTCTGAATTTTAGGCTGCACGCGGGAGGGGCAGGGGGGCAGCTGGTTGAGAGCATTGGTGATCTCGGGGGTTTCCACGGCGGCCAAGGCATTGCAGATGGCCTTAACGGACTGGACCACCCTGTCGGCCTTCAGCGGGAAGTCCCCCTGTGAGAGGAAGCACAGTGAGGCTGGCAGGCTAGCTAGCACTCTTAGCCTCCAGCACCCAGCGCTGGAGGAAAGGGCTGGGAGGAGTGCGGGCTCATGACCCTGAGGACTAATTAGTGGAATTCATGCTTTATTTTGAAACACCCAACACTGGCGAACAATGGCTCCTACCAAATTAAATGAGCCAATCCCATGTTCCCCAGTTCTGGCTGAGCCATCCTCCCAGAGCTTCCTTCTACTCCCAGACTACAGCCTACTTGTACTATACAAACACACATGGGGTCTCTCATGGGGACATCCATAGGGAATAGCAAGGAGGCCAAAGAGACTACACTGAGGCACCACTTGTCCATGCAGCCTTATTTCTCATACTACCTCCTAGAATTTTTAGACAGATCTCGTCTCAGTACCACATGCACGCCATGCGCGTTCCTTCCCCTCTGTGCTATGGCTCCTGCAGTCTTCCTATTCCTCACCTGTCCTGCCCTGACTACCTCCATAAATTCAAATCATGGACCAGCTAAACTCCAACTTCCTTCCCAAAGCCCTCCCTGGCCAGTCCCCTTCTCTCTTCCTCTCCATGAGCCCTCGATTAATCCACTACCACCCTGTTCTGTCTACTAATAGTTTTATGTTACTGTTCCATTTTTACTCATCCAGGGCAGCCACTAACATAGGGCTAGACAAGGGCAGAAAAGGGGTTCAGAGGACTACCCCCCCATCACAGGAAATGTTGGAAATGTTCAAGCAGAGACTGCTAGAGAAGGGATTCTGGCATTGGGGAGAGTGTTGAAATAGATATAATGCCGAACTCCCGAAAAGGGAAGAGTCTATGACCACTACTGCCTGAATCAATGAGACGACGATTGTTTTGAAGATCCCCATCTGGTTTTCTTTAGTTTCACAACATTTGGGGCAAATGTTTAGTATCATGGTTTTGAGGCTTAAAAACCCCTGTGAATCTAAGTACGGAGAGCCCTGGCCCTTCCCTGTCTCTAGGACCCTCCACCTCCTCATGGCATTCTACCTGTGACGCCAGAACCTCAGAACTTCTCAAAGCAGTTTCCTAGGCATTCATGATTCACACAACACGCTCCAATGCACATCCAAGTACAGCATCTGGGGTGACAACTCAGTGTCCCCTAGCTTTGGAGATGCCCTGCTCCAGAGAGAGGGAATCAGGACACGGTTCCTGACCTACTTCTACAGAGGAGCAGAACCCCTCTCCACACACCTGCCAGCTACCCGACAGCCAGCAGTCTTGGTTTGCCCATGAGCTGGGGGAATGAAAAGACTACTCTCCTGACAAATTTCCAATGTTTACTCCAGATCCCTTCTAGGGCTGGCTGGTCCCAGGAGGACTGGGGGAGAGGTGGACAGGAGCTTTAGGCAGCGGGACCACCCCAGGATATGCACTCACATCAGCCAGCAGGAAGGCATCCACCTCATTGTGGTAAGTGTCAAACAGAAGACTCAGGGCCTGCCTAGGAAGTTGGGGACAGGGAAAAGTAAAGTCACAGAAGTCAGGACAGGCCCTCTCACCCCACCCCATATACTGGCCAACCCATTCTCTCCCTTTTTCCATGTCTCAGGAAACTGACTCTGGTTTAAAGAAGTTCCCACTCCTTCCATATGTCCCATGAAGTCTGAAAGATGCCAAGTCCTTTCATGGTTTGCCCATGAGCTGGGGGAATGAAAAGACTACTCTCCTGACAAATTTCCAATGTTTACTTTGCCATCTCTCATGTGGAGAATGATGGCAAAGTACTAGAGGGAAGAGATGTAACACACCTGGAGTGGGAATTGTCCCCGTAAGACTCTTGGGCCCCACCCACAACACCTGCAAGAAGCCCTGGCCCTGGTAAAAAGGTAAACAGCAGTATCTGTGGGGGTCTCCCTAGAGTCCCTGCTTTGACCAACCCCAGGATAGCACCTACTCTCACCTGCTGATGGTCTGTTTGACTGGCCTCTCCTGCAGATGGATGAGGTAGTTCAAAGTGGAGGGGCTCTGGTCATCATTCACCTGTGTAACAAGTGCCCTGTTCAGGGAGGGGTGGTGCCTTCATCTCAGCCTAGTGTTCCCACCCTACTCCCATTAAATGTGTTTGTTCCACATCACCCTCTGCTACCCCACGAACCGTCCGGGCCAGGTCGCTGCGTACAGACTTCTGCTCCATCAGTTGTAGCCGAATGTCAATGTCAAACTTGCGGCAATATTGAATGTACTCATGGCTGCCCAGGGCGTGCTTGCTGGTGGGACAGAGGGACAAGACCATTAGCATCCTGGGGACTCGGTGGGAAAGGATATTTATACCTGAGACTTGCGGAGAGAGAAACAGGAACACCGGGAGGTGACCCAGGGGAGCTACTTGTATTGTGCCCTCTACCTTGGCTCCTAGAAAAGTCATGGTAGAGCTTGGGGAAGGAACAGAAGCCTGTCTAAAGAAAAGCCTAATACACCTAATACACTAAGCCCTTAGTCTGTACAAACACTGACTTTCCTGGGTACTTATTACCTGTATTGTTATCGGTGGTTCACTTGAGGGTGGGAACTTCCGGTGAAGTAGGACACAGAGTGACTTCTCAGGGGACAGTATGTAAAGCCCATTCTCTTGGCTTTGGTATACAAGCCATGTTGGAAGTCAGGCTGTATTCAGGCTTGGGCGAGGAGATCAGTGAATGACATTACCCCACTACTGAGGTCCCACTAGATGTCCCACCCGGTACTGTTACCAACTGGGGTGCTAAGGTCAACCAAGCAAACCCCAGCAAGATTCCAGGTCTGTTATCACAACACCCATCAAAGGTCTGCTTCTCCACTTCCTCCATGGGTCCTGCCTGATTGTGAATAACTGTATAAATCTCTATAGACTTCCTGACAGACACCTGCCTGCCTGCCATTCCCTCTGCTCAAGTGACAAGCGAGACCCCACCGCCACCCCAGTCTCAGAGAAGGAGGCCTAAGAAGTCCCTCCATGATTCAGCTTCTTCCTCCCAAATCACACCTCAGTCAGAAAGGAAACCCAGAAGAGAGGCAGAGTGAGTCTCACCTGCAGGCCAGCACTGCAGGCCTGGGCCGGGTTCCAGCCGCCGAGGCCGAGGAACAGAAGCCGGAAAGGGACTTCCTTCCTCGGCACAGCTGGGAGTCTAGGCCAGCAATGCAGGAGAGAGTAGAGGAGCAGAGGGGAGGGGTGTGTGCAGAGCCAATGGAGGTGCCCTGGCCTGAGGTCAGTCGGGGTCCAGTTAAGACTTAAGGGAGTTCTCCACATTCTGAGGAGCCTAGCCTCTAATCTAGGCCCCAACCTGCTTAGCCTGAACTGCAGCCAAAAACTAGGGCTGGAGAGACTGGGCTCTGGGGCAGGTCTGGTGGGAGTGCCCTGGAAGGAAGGAAGAGTGCGGTTGGGTGGGGGGGAGGAGGCAGGAAACCCAACCCTCCCCTGGGACTGTCTCGGGGCTCTTATCTGAGAGCAGCCTGCATCCTGGCCCCAACACTCCCCCTGGCATCGGGCCGCTCCTGCTAGGCGCGGGTGGGAAATAACAGGGCTTCCTTGGGAGCTAGCAGCTTTCTAGAACCTCAAGAGGGACCTTTCCACCCCACCTGAGGCAGCTGTCCTGTGCTTAGGGGTCTGGACTTCTCTGCTGGTCGGAGGGAAGAGAAGCGACCGGATGGAGGAGGGGCCCCTGGACACAGGTCCCCTGGGGGCTTGCTTGCCCTTCTCTATGGCAGGTCTTCCTCTGCGTGCATTCTAGTTACAGTGAGGGAGACACGACCCCAGGACCATCGATCCTGTTCCACCTCCCCCTGCACGCTCCACCTGGGTCTCGACAAAAGTTAGAACCAGACAGCTCATCTATCCGCTCTGGATTCGGGGACTCAAGAACTAGGGGACCCATAAGGGAAATCAGGCAGTACTCATCCAGGCCGATCCCCATGAATCCCTCTCTTTGGGACTGGTCATTCCTTGCGAAGGTCGCTCACTGGGCCATTCTCACATTTAATCCTCATTATAATTATGGAAGGAACTGAGGGTCAGGGTTTTACAACTAGTCAGTGGCAAGGCAGAACCCAAACGAGCCATACTGATGTGACCCACTCTGCCCCTTGTTCCCTTACGACAGTGACAGGCTGCCAAGGGTGCTCTCTGTTCGGAGACCCTGGGTCTAGGACCCCTCTCATTCCTCCAGGGGAAATTGAAGACACATGGAAACATCTCATTGCCACTCCCTGGCATTGTGCTGCGTGGGGTTCTACCCCTTTCCTTTTCCAGTTGAGGGCACAGAGGCCACAAAGGGCCCACAATATCCCTCAGGTTAAAGAAACACGCTGAGAGCTGCTCTAGTCATAGATCAACTATCCTTCATCTACACCTGGATATAAGAGAAAGAACAAGCGATGGCACGTAGAGGCTCTCCTGAGAACTACGACACAGGCCTCTCCTGTCCCCACTCCCAAGGCCTGCTTTCATGGGCAACAGGCAACTGGAAGCTTGAGGAGGAGAGCAGATCTCTTTATTTCCCTGTCTGCTGCCGTCTGGCTGATGCCACCTGCCACCCAGCTGTACCCTTGAGGGGTGTAATCCCCCACTCCAGCCAGAGCTCCAGAGCGGCTGATCCACATCCGACTGTCAGGGAGGCTGCCTGCTGCAGAGGACACTGCCTGGGGAGGGGCTGGCGGCCAGCCTTTGGTGCGGAGGCTAACCAGCAGCGCATGCCAGAGGGGAAGGGCTCGTTGGCATGGCGAAGGGGGGAGGGAGAGCAACTGTGATTTCTCCCCTAGCTTCCACGGGGCACTGCTGCCCAGTCCTCCTCCTGCCCCTCGCTAAAGGCTGCCTCCCGTAATCCAGGGCAGGAGGAAAGCCCCACACAGTCCCCCGCCACCTCTCACATCTCTCCACGTACAGAAGTCTGCAAGCAAATATGACCTAGTCTTTGCCTAATTCCTGCTCCAAACTCTTTCCACAGATTTGGCTCAGGAAGCCGGCCAACCCTGCTGGAAGACGGAGCTCCTGGGAAAGTGCGACGTGGCTGAGTGTGCCTGGAAAGCAGGAGTCCTGCCTGTGGGACTGTGGGGCAGCTGCCAACACCAGGCCTGAAGCCCAGCACCTCCCCTAGGAAGTCCCTGACAACGCTACTACCGGAAGGCAGGTGCTGCGTCCCATCCCACCTTGCTTGTCCCCCAGTTCACTCACTTCTGCAGGAACTCCTCCAGCCCACAGGGCTTCAGCACAAAGTCACTCACATCCACATCCCTCAGTTCATCATGAGTGTAGCACAGGGTCTGGTAGATGAGCAAGTCCACAGTGGAGGAACCTGTAAGGGGTGGGGCAGGGGAGCAATGAATGGAGTGTTGGGGCAGGTGGGGCTCAGCGTCTACCCTGGTCCCCCATTCCCAGCTAACGTGCTCCAGCACTTTCACCAACCAGATAAAGCAGTTTGGGGTTAACGGAAGTGACCATGGACCTAAACAGCTGTCCCCAGAGCCAGTCTCCCAAAGGAGCTTCCTTACTTTCCATCATGCAAGCCACATGGTGGGGTGGGAACTGAGGCCAAAGGATCCCACCCCACCCGCAGGGAGGCTCACCCTCCTCCCCACTAACTTACAGTTGCAAGTAAAAGTGAGTGGCTCCCGCAGGCTGTCACACAACACTGTCACCTTCAGGTTGACCTCCTCCCCAAGGTGCTCTGGGCTTGGGGTGACAGCACTCCAGACATATCCAGTGAGGAAGTAGTCTTGGATATTGGAGCCAGATCGAAGGCTGTGCAGGAAGAGAGGGAGAAGGACCCTCGCTCTGCCTTCAGAAGAGAGCAGTCGAGAAGGAGCCTGCTGGGACCCACCCGCCCTGAGGCCCAGGGCCCCTCTGTACCCACTCAGCCCGGCCCTCCAGGTCTGCAGTCCAGGGTGAAGGTGGCAGGGAAGCAGCCCTGGGAAACCATGTTCTTGACACATTCGCTACAGCTGCAAACTGTTTCCCAAGCGGAGCTGAACAGCAGGGATAGTTTTAAGATGACAAAGCGTCCCAGGTTAAGTGCAATGGAAGGGTTTTCTGAACTCATTTCCTTTCTGTTTCAGTTCCAGATAATGCTCTCATCTCCATCTGGGGGGTACTTGCTCCTAAGAGCAACAGAGCTGAAAGCGATTGGGGTAATTTGACGGTTAAATCAAGGTTTTATAAATTTTGTCAAATCTGTGAAACATCTAAGGTGCCTCGTTAGCGCAGTAAGTAGCACATCAGTCTCACAATCTAAAACTTCTAAGATTTCAAAAAGCCTACCAACACCTTTTATATGAAGCATTCATAGCTCTGAATTGAGGTTTATTACATGTGCTGCTCCTTTCTTCCTAGAAAAAAGGGACCCTCCTCCCCAGCCCCCATAATCCCACTCTTTAACTCTTACATATCCAGCATGTGGCAAAATGCAGCAACTTCCTCATCTCTCTCCTCCGAGACCTCAAACAGTTCATGGCCATTGGTGACAGTGTGGGGCTGAGAGACCACCTTTAAGAGAAGAACAGCTGACTCAGTGCCTTTTCCTCATGACACCCCCTTCCCACTGCTCTCAGATCCAGGCTATTAAGCTCTAGGTGTGAAGACTTTCTAGGCATTCAACATTCAGTGAAAGGGGCACAAGAAAATACGGAAAATCCTGGAACATATTTATCTGCCATCCTAGGAGACCAAGAGCCAAGTTGAAAAAGAGAACTTGAAGCTTTGGCTGAGCCCAGAAGCCTGGGTAGGATGGACAAGTGTGGTCAAGCCTCCTTCCCAATGGGGCGGTTTCTAATAAGTTCAACGCAGCAGGTTAGGCAGTGCACAGCACTGCTGGGCCTCTGGGCTGGCTTTCTGGGGGTGCTCCCAGAGGCTGGCGGGAAGCTTAGCTGTTTTTCCTGTCCCCCCATGGAGGCCAGGACAAGGGGTTGCCCAAAGGGTCCCCAGGGAAGCTGGGCCAGGGGCTCAAGCCTCGACATCCACAGCAAGCCCCAGGGACCCAAAACAGAGAGAGACCGAGAGCCCTTAGAGAGAGGCAGTGACAGAAACACGTGCCTTCACAGTCAACACTATTTGAGGAAGAAAGTGTCAGAGCAGTTATCTGGGTGGGAGAGGACCTGGTAGAAGGCATAGCTCCTCCTGACTCCCAAGTCCTCTCTTTCTGAACAGCTGCAACATCAGGGAGCCTGCCAGAGCCCCAGGTTGTAAGAACATGTGCGAGGGTGGGGGGATTTTCTCAGACAAGACCTCAACCTGTCTCCTGTAGTCATAGCGCTGCTTTCACTCACCCACGGGCGTGCTAAAAAAGCCCTCTGGCAGGGGAGCTGGTGCATGATGCATGACTCTGCCTGATGGGCCTGCCCATAGCCACCAGGCAAGGCCTTCCCAAGGCAATGAGGCTGCAGCTAGAATGGAGTGCCTGCCCGTTGGTGCCAACACCTGCTTCTGGGAGCCCAGAGTTTGGGTCTGCACACACAGCAATGCCTCACCTCTCACCCTCCCGCTGGCTAGGCTCTGTCCTCCCCATCCCTCGGGCAGATGGCAGCACCGAGCCCCTGATTTGAATATCCGGAGTTTCCACTGAGTGACCCTCTCCTGAGAGCCCTGCTCCTGTGGGTGAGTGGGGGGGGGGGGGGGGCGTCGTGCGGCAAGGGGAGGGCAGCAATGGGGGCAGCTGGCATGTGAGGCCCTGGCGCTGCCAAGTTCGTGCCTGTGTCCCAGTCAAAACAATAGTACCACTGTTAGCAATTAACCCACAAAAAGCAGAGCGAGAGAGTGACAGAGCAACAAAACAAGACAAAGAAACAGAAACAGAGAAACAGAGACAGAGAGAGGAGGGGAAGGCGACGGGTAGAGAACAGAGTAGCTACTGAAGGCCATTTTCATGCCCTTTCAGTGCCACTCCCTGGCTCCATAAGAAAACAAAGCCACTTACGTTCACCCTGCTGGCAGGCCCTGGTGGCATCGCCCGGTGCTGGCTGGGGGAGTCTGCCAGGCAGAGGCTGGCAGCGGGGGTACCCAGCTGGCACTTGGAGCCAACCATTTCCAGAGCTGGCTCCGCAGGCCTGGGATAGGGAGGGTCCCTCTGGCTGGAAGCCCGGCGAAGGCGGGGCGGTGGTACAGGCCGAGGGCCCGAGGGGTCCCCCCGCCCAGCAGGACGGGCCCCTGCTCGGAGCTGAGGTGGGGAAGACCAAGGCCGCATTTCCCCACTAAGAAAGGGCAAGAGCTCTGTGCTTTGCCCTAGCTTCTTCAAGGAGACTCTGGACTGAGCTCCCCCTCGGAGCTCTGATGACACACAGGGGATGGGGGAAGGGTGGGGAAGTAGAGGAGCAGGAGAGGGAGTGACAGAGGTGACCACCTACCAGGGTGGCCGACCCCGTGAGCAGGCCCGGCTCTGTGAGAGGAACTCGGAACTGGGAACAGGACTCTCCCTGTCCCTATAAATAGCAGGAGCAGCCCCACCTCTCAGAGCAGGGCCTTTCAAAAGCCCTGAGCTCTAGAGCCGTGACTTATCTGAAGAGCTGATGCTACTCAGGGGCTCTCTTAGCAGCACAGGAAGGAAGGACCACGTGGCTTTTCCAGAGCTGTGAAGGATCCCCATTGCTAGGACACGAGGTGGGAAAGTCCCGGTGTCCCTTAGACAATGTATAAGGGGGAAACAGGGAAGGAATGAGGCAGAACGCTGTCCTTAAAGAAGTCATCAGCCACAAGGGTGCCTCTTGACCCCTTCTAGGGCCAGGGCTTCCTGTGTCCAAGGGGGAAGCACAAATCAGTCTTCAAGTCCCACCTGAGGGGATGCCACTGGCCCTTTTTTAAACCAGAAAAAAGATCGAAGCTGCCCTGAACGCACTCTGTGCTTTTTTGTAAATACTTTGCTCTTGTATTATGTACTGATAAAAGTAAAATTATTATTGTCATACGACATATTTTTCCTAAATATTTTCAATATGAAAAGAGTCGTGATAGTTGCAGAACAACATGAATGCACTTCATACCACTGTACTGCATACTTATAATTGGTTATGATAATAAATTTAAAGTTATGTTACCATAATTAAAGAGAGACAGAGAGAGAGGAGGGTGGGGAGAAAGAGAACAGGGAAGTAGACACAGAAAAACGGAGAGAGATAGAGAGAAAAAGAGAGAGAGACAGGGAGAAAGACAGAAGGAAGGAGTGACCAAGACAGAGACAGAGGAAGGAGGAAGACAGGAGACAGACAGGGACAGAGATACGGAGAAAGACACACACATGGAGAGAGAGACACACAGAGAGAAAGAGAGAGGGCAAGAACAAGCCAGCTTTGAAATGACCAGGGCTGTGTGCCTTGGACCACCAGGCAGGGCTGCTGAGGGGTCTGGTATTCAGTGAGCACTAAACAATAGTTAATATGAGGATTGAGCCTCCTCGCCATGCAGCATTTTTGGCAGAACAAAAAGCAAAAGCATCTACAAGGCCATTGGGCAACGAGTCAACAGTGAGTCCCAGAACCCCAGTTCTGTCCTCACATCATAAAGCGGGCACACAGTAGGAAGTGGGACTCTGAAATACCTGCCCCCAGAAGACACACAAAACTCACCCCTGAAAAGGACCCGTGTCTCTAGTTGTCCCCTTTCCTCTCCCCCACCAGGACCCAGGGGCCTGATGACAGAAGCAGAGGGGAGGGGAGGACTAAAGGGATGAATATGTAGTAGATCTGGAACGGCAAAGAAGGAGGACTATTCTGTTTCTGAATGACATGAGGGAAGGAAGACAGAAGAAACACAATAAGGTTCTCACCGAAGCAGCAGAAATCCGGTGGTTCTTGCCAGATGTCACATTTTTTCGGTTGGCATAACGAGAGACATAAGTGCGGGGGGGCACCTGCGGGGGCATGGTCTTGCTCCGGGCCACGGGTTTTCCAGGAGTGTCCTTGCTGAAGTCCAGGGGCCCCTGGCCCTCCTTCCAGCCCCTCGCGGCATCCCGCAAGATCTCTGCATCATAGGTTGACTTCAAGTTGAGCCGTGTAATCGCATCATTGATGCCATCGTAGTCCACAGACCCCCATAAGTGACCCATACCCCCACCTCTTGGGTCCTCTTCTTCTAGGATTTGATGTCCTAGCAATTTGCCCGAGGGCTGCTCAGCCAAAGAAAAAGTGTTGATGTCATTGGGCTGGGAGATCTTGCAGGAAGACGGGGACCCCTTTCTGGGAGGCAGGGGAGGGGTGTCCCAGATAGAGACTCTAGGAGGCAGAGGAGGAGGGGACAGTTTCTTAGAAGAACCATCTATGTCCCCCAGTCTTGGGGACAAAGAGAGCCCCCCACCTGAACCATCAAAAATGTAGAGATAGTCTCCAGGCAGGGAGCCTTTGGGCCAGGGATCTGGGCCAGGCTGGAAGCCCTGGGAGGTAGAGTGGTTAGGCAGCCCTTCCTGTGGGGAGAGTGAGTTGTAATTGAGGGTAGGATCAGAGCCAGAAAGGCCGCGTAAGAGCTTGAGGTCCTTCTGCCTTCCCGCTGGCTTGCTGTAGAAGTCCAGGACCGGCTCGTCCCAGCTGATGAGAGAGGGGTCTGGGTTCTGTTTGGTTCTGTTTTCCTCCTTGTCATGCCGGAGCCGGGACAGAGCATCATACTCCATCTGCAGGGCTTCGGCCATGGCCAGCTCTTTGCGGCTGATGCCCACCGACTCCAGGGACTTCCAGTGTTCCCCACTGCCCTGAGCTGACGACATGGTGAGGGTGGGGGTGGAGGAGACGAGGACGTCTTCTACTTCCTGCCAATGTCCGGTCTGCAGGGCTGTGGCATGGTGTCCGACAGGCACCTGCAGGTGAGGGGTAAAAATATAATGATTCAGTCACAGAAAGAGATGTATTAATAATCTGACTTAAGTGACACCACCTGGGCCAGTGCCTGTTTCTTGATTGTCTAAAACAGATGGAAAGAAACAGTGCCCTGACCCGTGTGGCTCAGTGGGTTGAGCATCATTCCACAAAACGAAGGGTCAAGAGTTTCTTTCCCAGTCAGAGCACATGCCTGGGTTACAGGTTCGGTTCCCAGTTGGGGCGCATACAAGAGGCAACTGATCGATGTTTCTCTCTCACAGCGATGTTTCTCTCTCTTTCTCCCTCTGTCCCCTCTCTCTAATAAATAAATAAAATCTTAAAAAAAGAAGAAACAGAAAGGTGAGGAATAAAGAGATACCCAGACAACTTTATCTATTAGAGCCATCCACTCTTCCATTCTTCTGCACATGCTTCCACCTCCAGTCTCCAACTCCCATGCTCCTCTCTCTCACATGTACCCAGAGGAAAGAAGGATATAGCAGCCGAGAGGAGAAGACAGAAACAAGGGCTCTTCAGTCAGTTTAGAGAGGCAGCTCTCAGACGCTGCTGGGGAAGGATGTGAAATGGTACAACCTCTTAAAAGCTGAGGCAGCTTCTTGAAAAGGTAAACATTCACCTACCAAATGACTCAGCTATCCCGCCCGTGAAAATGAAAGCACATATCCACACGAAGATTTATACATGAATACTCATAGCGGCCTTATGTGTAATATCTAAGAACCGGAAATAACCCAAATGTCCACCAACAGGTTTATGGTTTAAAAAAATGTGGTATGTCCACACAATTGACTATTAATCAGCAACAAAAAGGAATGAATTATTGACACACACAGTATCACAGATAAATATCAAAATAACTACGCTGAGTAAAACAAGGGCACGATTAGGTAGGATTCATTTATACAAAATTCTGGAAAATGAAAACTAGTCTACAGTGACAGAAAGCAGACCCGTGGTTATCTGGGAAGGGGTGGAAAGAGAGATGGATTACAAAGGAACAGAAAGGAACTCTCGGGGATGATGAGTATGTTCATTATCTAGACTGCGGTAAAGGTTTCACATAGGTCAAGACTTCTCAATCTGTATACTTTAAGTATGTACAGTTTATTGTAGGTCAATTATACCTCAATAAAGCTATAAGTGAAAAGTACGATACAGCACTATGGCACAGACTGCACAAGGCTCCTCCCTAAATACACCAATATGAGCAATTAAACAAAGCTTTCCAAAGGGTGAGACCAGGCGCCTGATGGATTACCGTTGTGCCAAAATATTGATTTCCCCTAGGCCCTCAGGAAACCAGGCAGAAAGGCAAGACCCTGGGCCAGCTGTCTCTAGCTGCAAGCAGCCCCCTTCATTTACTCATGTTGGCATCCTTTCTTTTAGAAGCTGTGACATGAAAAAGACACTGAGCAAATGGTTGTAATAACAAAGGTAGCCTGGCCCAGCGGTTCGCAACCCTGGCTGCACATTAGAAACACTGGGGGAACTTTTTGGAAGTATAGTCCTGATGCCCACGCTCTCCTGAGAGATTATGATTTCATTGGTCTGCGGCAGGGCGGTGGTGTTTTGAAAACTCCCCAGGAGATTCTAGTCTGTAGCTGAAGCTGAGAACCCCAGGCTTATGTGTACACAGTAACTCCTCAACATTATTGACAGGTTCTTGGAAACTGTGACTGTAAATAAAACATAGAATAAAACCAATTTCACCACAGGTTAATAATATAAATAAGAGTTAAGTTCCTATGGCATATCTCTGGACACAGAAACATCACCCAACTTCAAAACAAAGACCCAAATCATTTCTAATATTAAACATGGAAATAAATGTGTGCTAGCCATACATTTAAGAAAGATGAATAAAAACAAGTGAGATAATTATTTTCCAACTCACGTATTCCAGTTCAGGATCATGGGTGACTGGAGCCTCTCCGAGCAGCTCAGGGAGCAGGGCGGGGCCCCACCCTGGACAGGACACCCTTCTGCTGTAGGGCCACTCACGCCCACACTCAGAGTGGGGCAATTCAGACCCGCCGGTTTATCTAAGGGTCACGTCTTTGGGATGTGGGAGGAAACCAGAGCACCCGAGGAAACCCATGCAGACATGGGGAGGCCATGCAAACTCCACATGGACTATGGCCCCAGCCAGGAATCAATTTTATTTTTTCATCCACATCATAATAAAACGATGCTATTCAAGAACCTGCTGTGCATGTGTTTTAGATGAGCTTGGGGAGGTATGTGTGAAGTAGTCACATCTGACCCTTAGCACCAGCAGCAAAGAAGTTCATGATTTCATAAAAGTATCAAAAACTGTGCATTCTACTATACTGCTTATCCAGCAGATAATAAATATATGAAGCATGTGCCTCCTCCAGATTAGGAAGCTGAAAACATCAACAGGAAAAAGGTTCAGATAGATTCTTGGGTGGCAAGTTCCATCAGATCCAAAATGAGTTAGCAAACACCACAAAGAGAGAGAGAGAGAGAAATCAAAATGTGTTAGGACATGGGTGTCCCTTAACCTGAGGTCCCCTGCACCCCAGCACCCCATGTATCTGTCAAGCACAGGCACAGAACCCTGAAGGGCCCAGGCTGGCTCAGCAAATTTTAAGAAGTAGTTTCCCAAATTAGCCCCAGCCCAGCCTCAGGCACACAGCACTCTGCAGATTTCTCTGCCTGTCTGAATTTCGCCACCCCTCAAAAGCTTCTTATAAACTGCTTTTTATTTACAGAGAGTAAGAGGCAGTCTTTCCATTTGAAATTCAAAGGAATTAGATGGCGAGATGAAGATACGCAGACTTTAGCTGCCCATGGCTGGAAAATTGGTTCCAGGAAAAGGAGGTCCCAGTGTTGTAAATAAGAGACAGTAGATAAATGCTCAATGTTGGACTGAGTTTAAGGGCTTTTGAGCCCTGAGCTGGGACAAGCAGAATAGTAAGAGGTGCGTCAGCCAGGCACCCCTGTGAAGAGGAAACTTGAGGTCATTGGAAAGAATCTCTCCTGACGTCCTGCCTCTCCCCTTACTGAGTCACCCGCAGGAGCACTCAGCCGCCCGTCTCCCTCCTGTGCTCCTATCACCCCCTGCCACAGTATCCCTATCAGGATGGTGCTCCAGAGACTTCTCCTCCCTCTCTTGTACCTCCACCTCTTCTCCTTAACTGGGTCTGTCTCTTCAGCAGCACATAAACATGTGCAAGCTTCTCCTAACTTCAAAAAGAAGGTGAAAAAAAAACAACCACCTACTACTCCCCAAGCACATTCCCTTGACTTTTTTTATCCTCACCTGAGAACATGCTTATTGGTTTTAGAGAGAGGAGAAAGGAGGGAGAGAGAGGGAAATTAACTTGCACCTCACAGTGCCCCCACCCCCCACAAGCCGGGACTGAAACCTACAACCTAGGTACGTGTCCTGACCAGGAATTGAACCCATAACCTTTCAGTTATGGGATCATGCTCCAACCAACTTAGCCACACTGGCCAGGGCCCCTTGACATTTTGTCCTCCAGCTGGTACCATCTCTGTTCTTCCTTCCCTAGCCAGAGTCTCAATTCTCCCTTCTTATTTACTCTCCAACTTACTGTCATCTGGGTTCTGCCCCTAATACTCCTCTAAAGCTGCCCAGTTCCAAAGGCATGTCTATGTGTCTGGACATGGCTGCTGCATTTGGCTCTAAGACCATACCCTTCTTCCTTAAACCTTCCGTCCCCTGGCTCCCATGACACCGGCTTTTTTCTTCTCCATGTCCTTCTTTGTCCTCCTCTTCCTCTGTGTCCCCCTAAAATGTCCGTGTTGGCTCGGGGTTCCATTCTCAGCCCACTGTTCACACAACACCCTCTGCCTGTGCAGCCTCATCTCTTCTATCTCCCATTCACACCGCTCTCGTGTTAATGATTCCAAATGCGTAGTTCCCATCAGGTTTATATGCCCACCCATTCCTCAAACCCCAAATGTCCCAGACTGAACCTTCTTTCCTCCCCAAACCTTCTCCTCCCTCGGGTTCCCCACTGTGGGATGGCCCCACCCACCACCCACACTAGAAACCTGCGGTCATCCTGGAGTTCTCCTTCCTTTCACTCCATGTCCAGCCTCCAAGGTCTACCAACCTTTCCTTTTAATTGATAATACTCCCCAAATCTAGTCCTTCCTTCTATCCTAACTGCTGCTGTCCTAATTAAACCCTTATCTTCTCTCACCTGGGCTATTACAATGGCCTCTTAGAGTTTTTCCTCCTCCTAAGCTTTCCCTCTGTAAGGCTTTCTCCACAGAGCAGCCGGAGGGCTCTTTCTAGAGTGTAAATCTGATCGGCTCACTCCCAGGTTAAACCCCTCCTAAGACTATTGGGTTCCTTTACAAGGTCTTTATCATGGGCCACCATCTCCCTCTCATCTCCAGCCATTCATTACCACGTATTTGATACCTCCATGATTTTGCTTCTACTCCTGGGCACGTCCTTCCCGATACTTGTTGCCTGACTCCAACGCACTCTTCTCAGACTTTGCTCCGATATCCTGTTCTTCAGAAAACCTCCTCTGAACCCTCAGATTGAATGAAGGGCCCCTTCTTTGTGCTCCCAATAGCAACCTGTGCTTATCTCAAACATAATCTTAAAATATTTTATTCAAAATTAAAGGTGTATGTATCTGCCCCGCCCCCCGCCCCGCCACTAAGCTCCTCGAGTCCCAAATTCACTTCATTTCCACTGAGAAAAATATACCTGAATTGGGATATAATGGCAGAGTGTTCTGGTGCTAAGAGTTTTTAGACATGGAGATGGGTGGTCAGAATGCAGGTGGTTTCCTTCTTTGGGGTCCTTCAAACACAGGCCTGGGTTTCAACTAACTAGGCCAGGTTTGGCATCCACAAAGGCAGGTAAGTGGTGGACACCACCACCACATGAAGTGCCTTCTAGTTCTGGGAGTCTTTGATTCTGACCTATTAAATCCATTCAAGTAAATTTCTCAGAGGACTCCAACCC